TATTGAAATTTTGCTACTAAAATTGTACTATATATTTTTTTTTTTCATCCAATATCTAATTGCCTTGATGACATTTTCTCTACAAATTTGGGAGTTTTAGGCACCCAAGACCTAACAGCCCCCTCGGGCCCTTATAGCCCTCCCCAGGGACTTTGCAGACCCCCCTGGGAACCTTACAACCCCCTCAGTACCTTACAGCTTCACTGGGGACCTTACAGCACCCCCTGGGACCTTACAGCACCCCCTGGGACCTTACAGCACCCCTGCAACATTACAGTACCCTCTGGGGACCTTACAGTACACCCAGGACCTTACAGCACCCTCTGGGGACCTTACAGTACACCCAGAACATTACAGGACTCTCTGGGGACCTTACAGCACCCCTGCAACATTACAGTACCCTCTGGGGACCTTACAGTACACCCAGGACCTTACAGCACCCTCCGTGGACCTTACAGCACCCTCCGTGGACCTTACAGCACCCTCCGTGGACCTTACAGCACCCTCCGTATACCTTACAGCACCCTCCGTGGACCTTACAGCATCCCCAGAATATTACTGAATTTCCCGGGACCTTAATGCCCCCTCGGAACTTTATAGCCCTTCCTGGGGATCTTATGGGTGGTGACGACCCCACACGCCCTGACAGAAGCGGTAGCGCCTACCAGGAGCCCATGGTGCCTTGCCAGGGGTAGTGACAGGGGACCTTCTATGGACCATGGTGCACCCAGGGACCCTCCTAGGAGCGGTTGAGCCCCCAGGGGTCCTCCTTAGGGGTGGTGGAGATCCCAGGGGCCCTCCTAGGCACGGCGGCGCCCCTATGGAATCCCCCCAAGGGCAGCGGCGCCCTTCTTAGGGATGCCGGTGACCCCAGGGGCGGTGGTGACCTCAGGGGCGGCAGTGTCCCCAAAGGGTCTTCCACAGACAGCGGCGCCCCCAGGTGCAATCCCACGGGCGGCCTCATCTCCAGGGGCCCTGCCAGGGGTGGTGGAGCTCCCAAGGACCCTGCCAGGAGCAGCAGCACCTCTAAGACCCCTCTTTAGGGTTAGGAGAGCCTATATGGGTGGTCAGAGTCCCCAGAAAAGATACTTCTCCAAAGACTCTCGCAAGGGTTATGGCGCCCACAGGGGCACTTCCAGGGGTGGCCGTGCCACCAGGGGCAGTGGCGCTCCTAGTGGCCCTCCCAGAGGCGGCGACGCCCCTAGAGGGCCCTCCCAGATGCAGATTCACCACCAGGGGACCTCACAGATGCAGATTCACCACCAGGGGACCTCACAGACGCAGATTCACCACCAGGGGACCTCACAGAGGCGGCGGTGCCCATAGGGAGCCCTCCCAAGGATGGGGCGCCCCCTGGGGTCCTTCTTACAAATTGTGGAGACACCAGGTGCGGTGAAGCCCCAGGTGTCCTGGCAGGAGTTGTGGCGCCCACCTTATGAGTGACGGTGACTCCAGGGGACCTCCCAGGGCTCAGGGACCCCTCCCAGAGGCTGTTGCACTCCCAGGGAACCCACCCAAAAGCAGCAGCATTCCCAGGGGCACTCCCAGAGGCAGCAGCGCCCTGAGTCCTCTTTAGGAATGGCGGTGAAACCTGGGGCTTCACAAGGGGCAGAGGAGCCCCCAGGGGCCCTACCATGGGCCGCAACGCCTTACGGATCCTCCCAGGGGTGGTGGCGCTCCCATGGGGGCACCGGCAATCCCAGGGGCGATGTCGCCCCCAGGAGCTCTCCCACGGGAGGTGGCACCCCCAGGGGCCACGCCTTAGGGGCCCTCCCAGGGGTGGGGATGTCCCTGGGATGGTGCCTTGAGGAGTCGCTGCAGCGAGGAGGGTCCCTGGGATAGTCTCTGGAGGCGCCGCCGCCCTTGAGAGGGCCCCTGGGGACGCCGCCGCTGCTTGGAGGGCCCCTGGGGGCACTGTCCCCCCTAGGAGGCCACTTGGGGGCGTCGCCGTATTTGGGAGGGTTTCTGAGTGCATCGCCGTCGATGCTGGGAGGGCCACTGTCACCCCTAGGAGGCTCTTGGGGGTGTCAACTTTTCTGGGAGGGTCCCTGGGGGAATCCCCGCCGATAGGAGGCCCCTGGGGGTGTGTCCACCCCTGGAAGGTTGTATAGGTGAAGGGTTTGGTAGGGGAGGTGAAGGGTTTGGTAGGGGAGGTGAAGGGTTTGGTGGTGAAGGTGAAAGGTTTGGTGGTGGAGGTGAAGGGTTTGGTGGGGGGAGAGTGTGGATGTGGGGTGTAGAATAGTATTGATAATAACATTTCAGTGTAAAGTAATAACAATCACTTGGTAAAAATCAGTATGTGGCAACTTTCTCAGCCAGTTAACAACAGAACCAGAGTCTTGTACACAGCAGTTACCCATCAAAGAAGCTAGGGTAAGGTTCAACCATCTGTTGCTCTCACGCCACCCTATAGGCACGTTTCTAACCTTCAAATCCCTAAAGCTCGGCCATTTATGGGCCGATTCTAATAAAACAAAAATTAAGTATTAAAATAACATATCGTGAATGGCTGAACAAATAGATTTTCTTTATATTTGGCTCGGTTTATTATTTGCTGATTTATCTATATAAACATTTTGAGGAAAAAATGGTAAGTTTAGAAAAAATTCATGTTCCCAAACCAAAAGCGATAATCAGAAATATCTATATGTCACGTTTAAGGAGTAAATTACCTTTACCCCACATGAATTACAAAGTAATCTAGCGAGAAGTTATGGAGAAGTAGGATTTTGAAAATTGATAATTATAAAAGGGAAAAATCAGGTATTACGCAGAACTGATTCAGGGTTATAGCAACAATGTATCTGGCATCCTTAATTGCCGACAAGAAATTGAGATTGATTGATCAATTATTAACGAATTTTACGTTTCAGCTGGACGGGGGCTACAGTAGTGTCTCTGAGAGGTTAACAATACAGTAGTGTCCCTAAGAGGTTTATACAATAGTGTCCCTGAGAGGTTAATAATACAGTAGTGTCCCTGAGAGGTTAACAATACAGTAGTGTCCCTGAGAGGCTAATAGTACACAGGGATGTGATTGGGTCTTGGAGAAAAAAATAGATAAATTAGCCAAGGGGTTCGGGGAAACACCTACCAAGGAAGATTTTACCATATTTAACTTAATTTCTCACATTGTTACTCATTTCGTGAGTGCTCAATAGTTAAAATACACAGCAGCCAAAATCAAACGTGTATGTTTATTGCAACAATATTTTTCATGCATATAGTCTTAATAGTTCCTTTACAAATTTTAGTTGTTACTAAACTTGAATTTGTTTAATATTTTTAATTGTGCACAATTATTGAGAAGATAAACGAAAAGATAAGCTTTTTTGCACTGTATTGTGAGAATTGAAAATTTAAGATTTACCAAAGGGATTATTGCATCAGCAACTGGAGTTTCAATAGCAAACTGTACTAAAATAAGAAAAATAAGCTTGTTCCATGATATATACAAACAAAATATTTATTTTTTTCCCATCTAATATTCACTCATTTGGTTTTGTTTTATTCTTAGTTTTAAGTGCATCAGCTAGTTCTTACAGGGAGTAAACACTTGTGTTTGTTGCTGAAAGGCCTTTCTGCTCTTCCTTGATTTTTGAGCCATTTCCTCGCACTCTGTTTTCTTTGATTCTGTTTCTTTAACAAAAATGTCAAAAATGTCCTCTTATTTTCTTCCTGCTGCAACCTCTTCTGCTTTAATATGCTTCTATACCTACTGCTGGAGAGTCTTATGTTCCTACACATCAAAGGGTCCCCTCGTGTGAGGGCACACACATGCCCTACAGCCCTGACCCAATGGGGTGCACACACATGCCCTGACCCACTGGGGGACACACATACAGTATGCCCCACAGCCCTGATCTCCTGGGGAACACATACACATTCTTTACAGCCTTGACCTTCTGGAGAACACATACACATGCCTTACAGCCCTGACCTCCTGGGGTGACACACACATGCCCTACAGCTCTGACTTCCTGAGGGACTCGCACACATGTCCTACAGCCCTGGCCCCCCTGGGGGACACATAAATACCCTACAGCCCTGAGCTCCTGGAGGACACACACATGCCCTAACCTCCTGGGGGGCACAAACACACCCTATTGAGTTACCTATACAACTATGAAATATGGCATGGGTTATCAAATAAATTATCAGTGTAAAATTATTGATTGTTGAAAAATGCTCAGCCCCTCTCCAGCCAGTGGCAGCAGGGGAGGGTGGATCAAGTGGATATGGTGAAGGAGCATATTATAAAGCTTCTATTAATAGTGATGTATGTCGTCATTGATCTATGGTCAACGAAATACTAAAGAATCAAAGAATGGAATGTAAAATAAGCAATATTCAGCCAATGAGAAATAGAGTATATGATGTAATGTATGAACATGTAGTGTGTGGCTGCTGAGAGTATATGAGGCATCTAGCGTAGGAGGGATCAACTCGCCGAATTATAGTTTTGAGTAAACGCACGTCAAAGTTTTAGAACTGTAAAATCACAGCGCCATACGAAAACAACAGGGAGTAGAGACGAACTCACCACTTCCTGACATCACAGTTGGAAAGATAAAGCCTGGAAAAATCCGAAACCATAGAAAACGGATTTTTGGGGGACTGGCGAGTTCGTCCCTCCTATGCTAGACGCCTCATATGAAGTACAGTAATGCATGAACATGTAGTGGGTGGCCACTGTACCGACTCATCGTCCTCATGCTGCAGACCCAGCCACCCTAAAGGGTCATTTATTGCTATTTATTGACGAGTCAAACATTTCTCTCATCACGGTCATACCACCTCTCCCTCCCCCCCAACTTTTCTCAGTGGATCTATGCGATTCAAGTGGGTCGCCTAAAACGATGGGAAAAAGTGCAAAAAAAATAAAATAAATAAATCACATTCCTGAATACAATAGTGTCCCTGAGAGGTCATTCACAATAAGAACAAGGTTTCCCTGGATGAGACTCTTAGTTGACCCAATAAGGGAAGGAAAACAACCATTACAAGAACTATTATTATTATTGTTTGGAAAATATCCCATTAAGCTTAAAAAATAAATATTACAAAATTGTAATTGATTGCAAGAAGCAATTTCATAAATCCTGTTTAAGAACGATGACAATGTGTAGTGAACTTAAATAACTGAAAATTTCTCATAGTGATCACCACTACAGTACTTATAATAATACACAGGAATAAAAAAAAATACACGTTATGTTAATTACACAAGGAAATGCTCAATGCCCGACCAATTGGGGACTAACGGTGGTAGAGGATTAACCGAGAACAAACACACACTGGGACCCGTGACAATTATTATCTGATATGGACAGTGGTCAAACTGGCTCCTGATGGTCTTCTGTGTGTGCCAGACTCTGACACTTCTGCCTTCATCTCTGGAGGTTCTGAACCATTGACCTAATATCAAAAGTAAATACAGACAATATCCTTACATACCATTAATGCCTATGGTGGTCTGGAGACTCCAACACACACACACCATTACTACACATTTTAAAGGCTTGATTGCTATGGACATTGTTGCTGTACCCATTAATGGTAGGACTGGTATTAGCACTATACTGAGGCACCCATTAATGGTAGGACTGGTATTAGCACTATACTGAGGCACCCATTAATGGTAGGACTGGTATTAGCACTATACTGAGGCACCCATTAATGGCAGTACTGGTATTAGCACTATACTGAGGCACCCATTAACCATTAATGGCAGTACTGGTATTAGCACTCGTTATATGGACACCACGCCATTAATAACAAGTTGGTGGCATGACTGCCAGTAAAATATCTGCATCTGCCTTTGAGTTTCCCTGAGGTTCCTATTGTCTGGTACTGAGCCAGAGTTTAAATAAGATTGGTTCTTAGTTTATTGTCCAGGTTCTGGCTCAGAGACACTGGCTAAGGTACACTACCCTCAAAAATATATTGTACTAACTGTTCCATCAGCCACAAGACTTTTAACCCTTTGAGCAGCAAGTTTTGACACTTACCATATCCTACACAGAGGGAACTTATTTCTTTGAAAATAATAAATCTTAAAAACTTCACAAAATAAATCTAAGTAATTCTTCAACAAGTGAAAATATAGTAAATAAACAATAGCATACATATTCACCCACTCACCATGAGAACACAACTAAGGCACTATGCTGTCAAAATGTCTATAATGTAGTGGGTGCTCCTGCTGTACCTGTCTAGTATATCTGCTCAAAGGGTTTATGATCTAATGGTACAAAATCCATGGAATACAAAAGGCCAGACCTGTAGCTGAAGAACCTATTTTACTAGAGAGCATCAGTTCCACAAAAAACTTCCTACTTCTCATTTGTTATTCATAATCATCACTCCAGTTTGTCCATTGTGCTTGCAAGAAAATCAACTACTACCGGTGCTTTAACTGTTGGTTTTCCAACTTTGATTTATATTAAAATATTATTATGACAATACTTTCATTTCGTCTTTCTCAAAGAGTTGTGTGGAATAGTCATATCATACACTTTCACACAGACAGCTGACAGCACTATGACCCAGATGAACACGTGAACCTTCATAAACTGCACAAGACAACTCCATCCTTGAGCACCGCACAGGAGACAAATACAAGAGAGCTCCATACAACCTTACCTCTTGTTCTGGGACCAGATTTATAACAAATATTTTAAATATGCTTTACGAGTATATACATAAAATGCTTTAGCATTTACTACACCCAACCCAGGTGACACAAGTTAGTCCCTCACGTACCTCAAGTTTGTGTCAAGTGGCCATGTCTTGTGCAGCTCCAGTCACCATTCTTGGCTGACACACAAGAAGAACAACTTGTTGTACAAGCTTCTTGTGAAGATTATCCTTACAGGACATTACAAAACATACAGAGTATAGGAGCTCACAGCACCGGACCCTCATCCAAGCAGAAAGGGTTGACCTTTAACTAAGTTCAATTTACAAAATACACTAATATGAAGTGTACATTAACGCTTCTTCTTGGCTTCCTTCTTGACATCTCCCTCATAACTAAGACCTAATTCTCTAATGCGCTTCATGAAGAGGTTAGAGAGCACAGTGCCACACTTGTACTCCTCAGTCTCCTCCATGTTGTACTGCTGGCAGTTCTGGAACACTAACATCACGTCGGCAATAAACTCGTCGTCTGTGGCGTATTTCATGCTGTTCAACTTCTCCCGTACTCTACCGATGTCCATCGGTTTCTTGACAATTTCATAATAATCAGGAACCTGTTGGAGGAGAGTACAGCTACAGCAGCATGCAATAAGTTTTTTAAGTTTCCGTGACCACAACAAAAGTCATATGGGATCGCTCACGTGAGGTCTGGTCAACTTAGTTCTAGTCAATTTATACCACTCTTTTTTTTTTTATTATAATTTGGGGGGCGGCGGTGGCGGCATATACTCGTATGCATCATTGACTTCGTTATTGTTTTGGCTTTAATATAAAACAAAAATATATAGATAGAACGAGAATAGGATTATATATTTCACTCCAAATAAAAAAAAGTGTGTTCCAAGCATATCTTGGATATTTACCCACAAACCTATTGTATATAGTAAAATAAATATATAAATAATGAGCTTTCCAATGATGGCTTTAGAATTTTGATAAGTCTAATTGTGGGAAAGGTGGGAGAGGAAATATGAGAAATGTGACCCACCAGCACGGCTGACGGGAGGAAACCAATGGACAACGGAACTCCACCCTTGCTTTGGTATTTTCTGGAAGGTTCACTCACAAGATCATGGTCATCTATGATGCACAAAAATATGACACGATTATCTTTAAAGCTAATTCTTTGGTGGATTTTTTTAAGTTTAAGGTGTGGTTCATGTCACTGATGCAAATAGTGCTACCCAATGATTTGTGTCATGATGTGCAAGAAGTTGAACAAGTGTAAGAGCTGTGTCCTAAAACATACAGGTGTGGAGCCTTCCACCTCTATAACTGTCCTGTACAACATAATATAACTACCCCATATTTTACAGCACATAAGACGCACCCCCATTTTAGCAGGGAGTTTAGGAAAAAACTTGTGTGTATTTTCCTCCTGCAGCCATAGTTTTCTTAAATCAATATACAAGTTACACCAAACCAGTTACCAAACCAGTAAATAGAAGCCAAATGAAAACTTTACAGTCACCATTTGCATATATTGTACATCTGTACTCCCCGTTTACCATAGCAATGGTGACCCTACCTCTGCCAATTCCCTAGCAACGTTACCCCCACCACCAAGTGCCCAGCTGTCCGCCCGCTCCCCCACTAAGCCAGCTGACTTGTGTGCAAAAAAATGTACAGTACATTTCTTTTATGTGTTTGTCCTTAGGACAATTATTTCTTTTACCTTTTTTCACAATATGTATGTAGGATGGTGTGTGCATGTTTATCAGTAAAAATAAATGAAAAAAGTTATGTATATCTATCTAAAAATAGGAATTGAAAACAACAGCTAAGCCCAGTAGCCTGGTTAGTGACGAGTCTGACCTGGCTACAATAACGATGTTAACAGATGTAAATGTGAAAAGAAACTTATCTGTAAAGCTTCATTTGTTTCAGGTATTTGTAGATTTAAAAATAAATGTTGCAGGTATGGCAATAATAGATTGTAATGCTTGTAAGAGTTCAGAAATGGTTACTGCTTAACTACCTCTGAAGCGTTGGGTGTCTGCCGTACAGACGTTAATCATCTCAGGTTTTCATCATCAGTACAGTATGAAATAATTATAGATTGACCTTTTATATTTACAATAATTAATTTTTTTTAATTAATTAAAAATAATAATGTGTTTAAGTAAGCAATAACATATTTTTAATTCTGGAGTTGGGTTAGGTAGAATTTAGCCCACTGGAGACAGCAACAAGGGGGGGGGGCGGTCATTAGCTTGCAGGAGACTGCAACTTCACATATAAGACGCAGACTGATGTTTTAGCCATTTTTCAGACAAAAACATGCATCTTATATGACATGAAATAGGGTAATATAACTGCCCCACACAACATAATATAACTACCCCATCACCTATAACTGCCCCACACAACATAATATAACTACCCCATCACCTATAACTGCCCCACACAACATAATATAACTACCCCATCACCTATTGCCCCACACAACATAATATAATACCCCATCACCTATAACTGCCCCACACAACATAATATAACTACCCCATCACCTATAACTGCCCCACACAACATAATATAACTACCCCATCACCTATAACCCCCACACAACATAATAACTACCCCATCACCTATAACTGCCCCACACAACATAATATAACTACCCATCACCTATAACTGCCCCACACACAACATAATATAACTCACCCATCACCTATAACTTGCCCCACACAACATAATATAACTACCCCATCACCTATAACTGCCCACACAACATAATATAACTACCCCATCACCTATAACTGCCCCATACAACATAATATCTACCTACATCTTTCTCTTTGCCCCACACACAACATAATATATACCCCATCACTATAACTTCTTACAACATAATATCACTTACATCACCTATAACACTACACAAATAATATAACTACATCACCTATAACTCCCCATACAACATAATATAACTACCCCATCACCTATAACTGCCCCACACAACATAATATATACCCCATCACCTATAACTGCCCACACAACATAATATAACTACCTCATCACCTATAACTGCCCCACACAACATAATATAACTACCCCATCATATAACTGCCCCACACAACATAATATAACTACCCCATCACCTATAACTGCCCAACATAATATATACCCCATCACCTATAATGCCACACACAACATAATATCTACCCCATCTTCTTATAATATAACTACCCCATCACCTATAACACACAACATAATATAACTACCCCATCACCTATTTGCCCCACCATAATATAACTACTCATCTTTCACTTCCACCCCACCATAATATATTCCCATCACCTATAACTGCCCCACACAACATAATATAACTACCCCATCACCTATAACTTCCCACACAACATAATATAACTTCCCATCACCTATAACTTACACACAACATAATATAACTACCCCATCACCTATAACTCTTCTACACTACATCTTTATTTACATCACCTATAACTTTCTCCACACACATAAACTCTACTCCCATCACCCTAATATATCTATAACTGCCCACACAACATTATACTTCACCCCATCACTATATTATATATACTACTTACATCACCTATAACTGCCCCCACACAACATAATATAACTACCCCATCACCTATAACTGCCCCACACCATATAACTACCCCATCACCTATAACTCTTACCCCACACAACATAATATATTTATATACTACACAACATATTATAACTACCCCATCACCTATAACTGCCCCACACAACATAATATAACTACCCCATCACCTATAACTGCCCCACACAACATATTATAACTACCCCATCACCTATAACTGCCCCACACAACATAATATAACTACCCCATCACCTATAACTACCCCCATTTTCATGCAAAACCACCCAAATCACAAACCCATTTCAGGTGTTGACAAAAGCATTAGAGACTTACAACTTTCTTTGACACAGGTTTCAAGAAAGGCCAGGAGGAAGGTTGTCTCTGTAGCTCATCCAGAATAGTCTCCAACGCTGAGCAGTTGAGGACACTGTCTTCATCGACCAGTGAACGCCGACCAGTACTACGCTTAGGTGGTGTCCAACCTGCAACGATGCTTAATATTTTGAGACTGTCAACCCCATATACACTGCTCTTTGTCAATCAATAATGTTAACTCGTCAAATGTTCAACACTTGGCTCAATATTTTGACACTTAGACCAAAACCTTATGACATTTAATTCCAAACTTTGACTTAGCTCAATATATTATGACACTGCTGAATAGTTTAATGACACCTGACAGCCACAGTGGTAGGTCACTCACCACACTCAAAGTCATCCACCTTGAGTTTCTTGGAGACTCGGGAAGTGTCTCCTTCACTCCTCCTCTTCTTCTCAGAGGGAGTAGTGGCCTTCTTACTCTTGGAGGTGGACTTGGACATCTTGTCTGTGCTCTTTGGTGTCTTTTTGTTACTTTTGTTTTCCTTGGCATTTTTGGTCTCTTTCTTTGCTCTGTTTTCTTTATTGCTCTTATTATTTTCCTTATTTGTGTCTTTACTGTTCTTCTTCTTTTCTGGAGGACTTTCTTTACCTGTAAAGATATTATTTATAAATAGTAGTAGTCACAGGTAAACATCATGTATAACATATAGCAGGTGTAACTTTTTTTCCCACAGGTATTAGCCCACTGACCCACATCAGGGCCTGGGGGCGAAAATGTAATAATAATACTGTAACAATAATAATAATAAATGCCATAAAAAATACAAAATTAAAAATAATAATAATGATAATAAAGAACCATAAATACAAAAATGAAAAATATATTAAGTGAGAAACAATATATGTATGTTGTGTTGTCTATAGCAGGAGAAACAATTGAGACCCTGCAATTGTGTGTAAATGAGGCAGAAAGTCAGATCATCAACCTGGGACTTGGTCACATATGGCAGCAGGGTCCACCATTAGACAACACATTATGCTTCCAATATCTTCCCAGGCGGTAGTACCTCCCTGTTTGGTAGCTGCCTAATACCTTCTACCTTTCGTTCTTTCTTCTTGCACCTGATTATCACCATGATACTGCACTACATCACCTATTCTCTACATAATGTAACGAAATGATGAATTATGACACCATATACAAACCATAACATCATGAGTAAACCCAATAATTTATAGCACCTTAGATACTATTTCAGCCCCAGGGGATGGGTTGCCAAATAGGAATATAACATTACTATTTTTTCATGAACCGAGGTTACAACGGAATCGCTTTGAACGAAATATGAAACACTGCGATCCGATGTTACATTCATTGTAAATATAGTAATTACAGGTGTATTATGATGCCTGATCCAGCTACAATGACATTATGATTTACTGCATTTCGATAATATCTCTACCTCAGTTGATGAGGCAACAATTATGAATATAAATTATCATTTCATAATTCATGCTGGCAAAGGAACATTATCTGATACACACTACGAGACAATGTCTGTCGGTACAAGCCGTGTTTTCCAGTGACTCTCGGGTACTAGTGTTGGTCATGGATTACCAGCAGAAAACATCCACTATATGACTCCCTTTGATATATTTTCGCTACATTAATATCATTATATTATTCTACCAAAGATGGAGCTCGGTGATTCACCATAATTGTAACAAATGCCAGAAATAATAACTGGCAACCTCACATATACTAGGAAGGCAGACCTACCAACATAATGCAGGAATCACAATTAATGATGATAATTATTCATCCATTGTGACACATTGTATCGATGAGGAAAGGGGTCGATACCATCATGTTCAACTAACACATACCTGTATAAGCTACATATAAATGTATAAGCAACATATACATGTACTGTATAAGCAACACATACATGTATTCTAAACATAAAACAGGTTTAGTCAAGGTGGATGGTACAAAGTCAGCCCCACCTTTACTGGACGGCGGGTCGTTGTCAGCAATGCCACCCGTGGGGAAAAAAAATAATAATAATAATAATAAAATAATAATAATAATAGAATAATAATAATAATAAAAATAAATAAATAAATAAAGTTCACCAAATTCATGTCTGAAACTTTCCAGATTACTAAAAAGAATTTCAAGGTATGACAAAATTGTATCGAATTAAACCCACCTCTCGTTTTACATTCTTGAAAACCACCGCTTAATTAAAAAATGCACAAATCAAACATAATTTTCCCATAAGAATACATGTATATGGTACAGGTTAGGGGAACCATCATATACCACACAGGGTACGAACAGTGCTCTCACTTAAACCAAGCACGCGGCCAACCTCCGACACGCACTCTCCTCTCTGAAGGCGGGTGATCACATTTAATTTCACATCCATTGTGATTGTTTTTCGTGCCTTTTTAGCTTTAGGCGCCCCAGAGGAGGCAGATGGACGTTTTCCAGACATGCTTGATGGGGGAAAACAGCGTTTAACACTAAAATGTTACGTGACAAACACACAATGCAAATGAGAGCACAGAGAAAAAGTAGTGCTGGTGTGAAGTGAGAAAGTGATACCCGGGAAGCTTGCTGGACGTGGTCACAGTTGTTGTACAGAATACTTCATTATCAACATCATTCGTAGAAATAATCTTTATTATTACATTAATATAATAATTATTATTATTAAAATCGTTGATGTTGATATGACTGTGACTTTATAGTACAGTAATAACTTACGAGCACCTCACCCGGCATCACACACGACCCCACTGCCAGGCGATCGGCCTAGCGAATAAGCGCGGCAAATTTAAGCTGCCTTCAGCTCGTTATTTAAAAAACGCTCAGATCAAACCTGAGTTACCAGTACAATTATTTTAATTTTAATCAATACTATTCTACAAACTGTACAAAATATATATTAAAGACTTATTCCCCCGTACTCGCGAGGGTTATTTTCTTAGAAATCGCCGTGAATTGTGAATTCACAATTACTGAATTTAATACCTAAGGGGAAAAATAGGTTATGGTACCATGGCTACTGATGTTATAATTTTTGTTTTCATAATATTTGGGGTTAGAAATAATAAATGTTTCTGAGATGGTGTTGATGTTTACATGGAGTGAATTTTTGTAGTAAATATTAATAAATTTTAACAAAAACAATTGTTTTCTGTACCTATAATTCAAGTCTGAGTATGTAAACAAGCACAGAACATATACCCCCTCAGGATATTATAGTCTACCCTAGTGATACCATTTTCTTTAATACAGAACAAAAGAGTACAAATTACAGTATGCTCTAATGTGACTTAGGAATAGAGAAAATATATAAACCTATAAAATAAGAAGAATGAAGAGCATAGGTGTGTATGTGTGTGGGAGGTGAATGAATGTGGAGGCAGTGAGCCGACCCACCTCCCTCCATGCGACGTCACAGCATACACACACATAACTAAGTCAGCTGGTTGACTGCCTGGCTGACCTGTGGCATCACTTATATGTACTATTGTATTTTATTACTGTATATGCTATGTATCAACCTTTTTGTTTATCACAAAATTTTTTGTGAACAAACCAGTTATAGCACTACTGGTGGCACACACGCGAATGAAAGACTTTGAATACAGTAAACCCTTGAAGATCAGGACCCGGTAAATCCGTATTTCGGAAGATTTGGACAACAAATTGGGGGTTCTGGGCTAAGAAGCCTCCCTAAGAAGTATTTCCAAACCAGGTGTGAAGGTAGTTTTAGGCTTAAAGTTTTTATCTTATAAAATTTCAGACTAAACTTAGCAGAATATAACTTACATTGCTGGAATTCTTGTAAGATAGTGATTAATTTGAATATAAATATGCTATAATTTGCACTAGTCATAAAAAAATTGAGTAATTATTTAGTACATTTGAGTAGAGTACAGGTTTGCCCTTAGGACAATTATTTCATTTACTTCATGCAAAAAGAATTTATAATCAAATGAAAATAGAAAACATTGATTTTTTTATAGAATTTTTCAATGTATGGGAGGTTTTCAAAAGTTTCTTTCAACCTTTCAAGGCTGGGATAAAAATTTCAAGCGGTGGCCCCACTGTTTGCTGTCTGATCATCGTTCCCAACACCCAAGCAGTTCAACAATCGAGCTATGATACTTCCACTTCTCATTAAGGACTGGGAAAGGATGTCAATGTTTTGTTTAATATATTCATGAACAATTTATCCAATGAAGTTTTACATTATGTTGCACATTACCAGACAGTGGGAACACTACAGGGGTAGACCCGAGCTGGTGATAACCATCCATGCAGGACAGGCCATCATTGATGAGCAGGGGTGCTGGACTGGCGACTGAAGGAGTACTTTTGGTGTCAATATAAATGTGTTGTGCATAATTTCTGTAATCTAAGGAATAGATTGTTTGAATAATTGTTTTACCACTTTTAACTGTAAATATTTACAAGGATATTAAGCTAGACAACATTTATGGTTACCTAACGAGTATAACCAATAATAAAATAGAGTCATGCTGTTTTTATCGCATTTTTCCACCCAACCCTAATCAATGGTGTTGACCTACTTCCAGTTGTGAAACACTTATATTAATTGGGTCTCTCATATGTCAGCTACACTCCCATTACATCATCCATTGTAGGGGTCAAGCCAAGGTTATGTGTGGTAGACCCTATGATGAGGCCATCATCGGGGAGAGTAATAAAGTCTTCTCTTAGGAACCATATTATCCCTCACATTCAGGCTTAGTTTTCTGACTACCATTTTGAGAAACCCGTGCTGCCAAGAAACACACACTCCATTATTTCATGATTATTTAATAATGATGTAACTTATTTTGTCAAATAATGTAACACTTGATTGGATAAACATTTGTGTATTTATTGTACAAAGCTTTGATATCCTTTCTCAGTCTTTATTGAGAAATGAAAGTAACAGGGCTTGATTGTTGAACTGTGTGTGTGTGTGTGGAGGGGAGGGGTGTTGGCTGGCTGGACAGCGGACCCGCCATCCAGTAAGGGTGAGGGCGGACTTTGTACCGTCCACCTTGACTGTATCAGAAGCTTCGTTCTGGGACTGTACAACAAAAGGTTCATGTTACACAAAACCTTAAGCTCCGGGTGACGTTCCTGAACATTCCCCAAGGCAACCCCGGGTGATGTTCCAAACATCCTCAACTCTAGCGGCATATTTTGAACGAGATGTTTGTGTACTTGACAACTCAACCAGGATGTATTTGTCTCAAGACTCAGGACTCATGGTCAGTGACCCGCCAGACACTGTGATAGATGCACGTCCTTAGACCTCTCTTATGACCCACCTCACTCCTCCACACCCAAGTGAAGGCATTTGCTTGACAGTTGTGCTGTTCATCAAGAGTTGTTTGATTTGAGTGGCAGTGATAGAGTATTGAGTGAGGAAGACAATGATGGGGAAGAAACAGAACCCAGATGATGTAGAGACGGTGAGGACAGTGTTAGGCCTGCAGACTGGTGCTCCCTCCCCACCAGCCACGACACAGAGATGCGGTGACCTGGTGCATGGACTGTGGAGTTGCCTTGTACATTCCATGTTACAAAGACTTCCACATGATCAAGAAGTTCTTAACTCAGTATAAGTTTTGTGCTGCCAGAATATTCCTACTGTTCAGGAGCTTATATTTGTTTTGAGTAAAATATATATATTTTATGTTTTGTAATGATTATAAGACAGAAATGTGATATAAAACTGCCTTCAAGTAAGAACTGTGTGTTGTAAGTGTGTGTGTCACCATCACTTCCTGCTCACTGTGTGTAGCAGCTTCAAACAAGACAACTTTCATCACTCCACACTGCTCATCAACACTCCAGACAACTCTCCAACTATGCCATAATGAAAGTTAAATGTAAGTACATTTTTCTGGTATTTTTCTTATTGATTAACCTACATATAAGATGAAAATGGATTAAAATAGAAGTACTGTACTGTATTTTACCGAAATATACCCGTGTGGGAAGTTCGGTGGGTCTTACAAAGCCAGGGGTCTGAGAGTTAATAATCTTGAAATGAAGTGAATGTTGAACATTACCTCTGACTGGTGCATTGCCTTGACAGTGTTGACAAGACCAGCTACCACGGGGAATTTTTCGAAGGTCGGCACATTCTTGATGGAAGGCGAGCGGACACGTGTCGCAGCAGATCAAAGTTCCGGGTTTTTCACAGACATAACACAAGTCCTGGTTGACCTCTTCACTGTTGGCAAAATTTTATTAATGTGAAAGTCATATTTCAAACTATGGTTCAACATGCAGGGTATATGGGAGGAACAAGACCATCGAGTACAGTGTAAACCTGTGCCAAAACATTACTGCACAACACTCACTTAACACCTTTAATACACACCCACACTTACTGAGATAGAAGGAGTACATCACCACTCTACTGATGTCATCACTCTTCTTTTAATCTATGTCAACACATCAGGTTTACCTAAGCTCCACACTGTCTACATTGTACTGAAATTCGTTGGGTAAGGTACAGAGGCACACAGACCACATGCTTCTAAGTATACCCCTCCATCAAGGCTGAAGCCAATAAGAAATACTCTGTACCAGATAGCCTGTGAACTGTCCTGGTGACAGCGGTGTGAGGCCTCACTCCCACCACAACACTCAACAGAGAAGCAGCTACAATCTTATGTAATGTATATTATCTTGTGTTTGTGATGAATATGTCTTCAAGATCCTGAGGCACACAGTGTGGGATTATATACTGTAAGCAAGGTGTTAGTATGGAGGAGTGTTCACTATTGTCTGTTAGGCTGTAACAGATACACTTATACTGTACTGTGGCCACTCACTACCAAATTTTAGCTCCTTATCAGAACTGTGGAAATGCATAAATAACACACACAATGTTTTATATATATATATATATATATATATATATATATATATATATATATATATATATATATATATATATATATATATATATATATATATATATATATATATATATATATATATATATATATACACACACACACACACACACACACACACACACACACACACACACACACACAGTGATATCCCCGTTAGCCGGAACAATTGGTGCAGAGCACCTCCAGGGATGAGAGATTTCTGGCTAACCGGACGACTTTCTCAAATCGGGAAAAATCCCCCATCCCCGGAAATATTTCCAGTTACTGGAAAAAACTTTCCGAGTGTCTAAATTATGCATCTTGCACAGACAAACACTAGCCCACATCCTCATAATGTTTCTGTGTGCTGGGGAGTTTTCCTAGAGTATAAACAAAAAATCTAGTATATAATATGGTCGTGAATGAAGCTGTGTGTTACATTAAGGACTGATATTTTCCAATCCCTTGGAGCTGTGAGGGATTCGTGTACCCGACCTGACCTGACACAAGTCCGTAGTGTTGGGTATTAGTGATCTCTTATTACTGACCTTCTAATACAATGTCAGGTCACCCATTGTCGGGTGGGGGATTAGTGGGTCCGAGGACCTAAGATGTCTTGAATAAACATGAAAGCTAAAATACAGTATTTTTTATACTTACACTTAACACATAATATCCCTTCAACATTACGTTACAGAAGATTTTAAAAAGTGGAGTGAGAAGGCAGAAAGGTGTGGGTGATTAGAGAGATGGAGTGGTAACATGCACCAGTGTTGCCAAGCTCCTCAACAGCTGCTCTTTTAATTCAACACCAGGTAGTTAAGCACGCATAAATTTATGTCTTACAATATGGGGGTGTGTTACTCACTATATTGTGAGTAACACAATATAGTGAGTATACTGTGCCTCTGTAAGTCACCAAACTTAGTTATTATGGCGGAAAAACAAGTGTTCGGTTTCCAGACAAGATGAAGGTGTGTCAAGTCCATTGCTTATAAGTCTTGTATTACGTCCCCCAACTGAACCATCCCAGCAGAAGGGTTGTGAGTTCAATGGAGGTAATCCTCCTTAACATCACCTTCCATGGTTGTGTGAGCTCCTGTACGACAAGGGTTAGTGAGTGATCAGGAGCTCAGAGCCTGGTGGGCCACATCACCACTAACTACACCAATATATAACAAACCTGTGACCATCTACATCCGATTCTTCTCCCGAATCGCCCTCATCATCCGACACATCCTTGTATATTTGACGGTTTTTACGAGGACTCTTTGGCTTCTCCTTTGGTTTACAACGATCACAGTACCAGTCGCCCGAGGGTATCTCCTGGTGAATACAATGTTATATATAGTTTATTACAGTATCAACACAATACATAATCAAATGGGGTGGTCTAGGTGTGAGCATGTTTATTATTATTCAATCATCATCTTCAAACTTCTTCCCCCTTTCTTTTATGTTTATTGCTTCTCTACTTCTGACCTGGACTGCCTCAATATATACATCACTACAGGAGCTCAAATATTCATCTTACAATTTCAAGTTTAAGACCCATGTCTGTCCTCTCATCTACTCTGGTAAGAAAGTTTGAAATAATAATATGGAGTGATAAATGCTGCCACGTGCTCCCAGTGTTTGATTGTATGTGACAGACAACAGATAACCACAGGGTACTGGGTCTCTCTCTCTCTCTCTCTCTCTCTCTCACACATTTACCTGGGAGAAAATATAATAAAGACCAAAGCAATAAATAAGAACTACTAAAACCCTAAAACTAATAGTAACTATGAACACATGTTAGAACTAGCACTGACCATTATGAACAAATGTTAGAACTAGCACTGACCATTATGAACAAATGTTAGAACTAGCACTGACCATTATGAACACATGTTTGAACTAGCACTGACCATTATGAACACATGTTAGAACTAGCACTGACCATTATGAACAAATGTTAGAACTAGCACTGACCATTATGAACAAATGTTAGAACTAGCACTGACCATTATGAACAAATGTTAGAACTAGCACTGACCATTATGAACACATGTTAGAACTAGCACTGACCATTATGAACACATGTTAGAACTAGCACTGACCATTATGAACAAATGTTAGAACTAGCACTGACCATTATGAACAAATGTTAGAACTAGCACTGACCATTATGAACACATGTTAGAACTAGCACTGACCATTATGAACACATGTTAGAACTAGCACTGACCATTATGAACACATGTTAGAACTAGCACTGACCATTATGAACACATGTTAGAACTAGCACTGACCATTATGAACACATGTTAGAACTAGCACTGACCATTATGAACACATGTTAGAACTAGCACTGACCATTATGAACAAATGTTAGAACTAGCACTGACCATTATGAACAAATGTAAGAACTAGCACTGACCATTATGAACACATGTTAGAACTAGCACTGACCATTATGAACACATGTTAGAACTAGCACTGACCATTATGAACACATGTTAGAACTAGCACTGACCATTATGAACACATGTTAGAACTAGCACTGACCATTATGAACACATGTTAGAACTAGCACTGACCATTATGAACACATGTTAGAACTAGCACTGACCATTATGAACAAATGTTAGAACTAGCACTGACCATTATGAACACATGTTAGAACTAGCACTGACCATTATGAACACATGTTAGAACTAGCACTGACCATTATGAACACATGTTAGAACTAGCACTGACCATTATGAACAAATGTTAGAACTAAAGAATGATAACAAGTGAGGCTGAGAGAGACTCACACAACACCTCCTCACCTTTAACTTAGGCTGAGAGAGACTCACACAACACCTCCCTACCTTTAACTTAGGCTGAGAGAGACTCACACAACACCTCCTCACCTTTAACCTGTGAGAGGGACCACTACCTCCTCACCTTTAGGAGGCTGAGAGACTCACCTTTAACCAGGCTGAGGGAGAGACTCACACACACCTCTACCTTTAACCCAGGCTGAGAGAGACTCACACAACACCTCCCCACCCTTTAACTTGGGCTGAGAGGGGCTCACACAACACCTCTCCACCTTTAGCAGGCTGGAGGAGGGACTCTTGCACAACACCTCCCTACGCAGCAGGCTGAGAGACACTCACACAACACCTCCTCACCTTTAACTAGGCTGAGAGAGACTCACACAACACCTCCCCACAGCCTTAGGCTGAGAGAGGCTCACTCTACCCAGGCTGAGGGGAGGACTCACAACACCTCCTCCTGCCTTTAACAGGCTGGAGAGACTCACACAACACCTCCTCACCTTTAACCAGGCTAGAGAGCTCACCTCCCACCTTTGATTAGGCTGAGAGACTCTGTATCCTCCTTTAACTTGGGCTGGAGAGAGACTCACAACCCTCCTTGGGCTGAGGAGACTCACACAACACCTCCTACCTTCAACTAGGCTGGGAGACTCACACAACACCTCCCACCTTTAACTTAGGGCTGAGAGAGACTCTGCAACCTACCTTTAACTTAGGCTGAGAGATCACAACCTCCTCACCTTTAACCTAGGCTGGGAGATTGTACCTCCTCACCTTTTGGTGAGAGGACTCTCCTTACCTCTCACCTTTAACTTGGGCTGAGAGAGACTCACACAATCCCTATTACCTTTGGCTGAGAGGGGCTCCTCAACCTCCCTCACTTTAACTTAGGCTGAGAGAGGCCTAGACAACACCTCCCCACCTTTAACTCAGGCTGAGAGAGAATGAGCAACACCTCTCACCTTTAACTCAGGCTGAGAGAGACTCACACAACACCTCCTACCTTTAACTTAGGCTGAGAGAGACTCACACAACCTCCTCACCTTTAACTTAGGCTGAGAGAGACTCACATAACACCTCCTCTTTGGCAGGCTGAGAGAGACTCACAACACCTCTCCACCTTTTAACTTAGGCTGAGAGACTCACACAACACCTCCCTACCTTTAACCTTAGGCTGAGGAGACTCACACACCTCCTCACCTTTAACTTAGGCTGAGACTCACAACACCTCCCACCTTTAACTTAGGCTGAGAGAGAGTCTCACATGACACCTCCACCTTTAACCTAGGCTGAGAGAGACTCACACAACACCTCACCTTGGCTAGCAGGCTGGAGGGACTCACAAACACATCCCCACCTTTAACTTAGGCTGAAGACTCACACAACACCTCCTCACCTTTAACTAGGCTGAAGAGACTCTGTACCTCCTCACCTTTAGAAGGCTGAGAGAGACTCTGATTACCTTCCTCACCTTTAACTTTGGCTTCAAACAATAAATATGGTGGCCCTTGTCACAGCCATCACACAGCAACATGTTCTCTCTTGTCTTTTTAAATGAAACAGATAGACATGGCGTTGAGAGCGGGATACGATATGAGTTGTCCAGAGGTTTATAATGTAAACACAGCTATTGGGCAGCGTGAGCTACAAAACGCCTCTCGTGGTAAGAAAATTAATACACACAAAACATCTACGACACATTCATAAAAGTGTACTTAAAGATTATGAACAGGGTGGTATGGGACATGTTCCCATATCAGTGTCTAATGTGGTGATGGTCAGAGCCTTGTGATACTGGGGAAATCTGTGAGTGAGTTGCACCTTTGTCTTTTCAGGCTTGTTATTTATTTTTGATTCTATGAAGTAAATTATTTGCCCATTATTTTACAATTTGTTTATAATAATAATAGTTGGTTGTTATAGTATGTGTATACAGTGAGGTATGAAGGTGAAAAGTTATGGGCATGAGCTTACATGTGGAAATACACAAGTGAACATTACAACATACAGTCCCACACTGGATGCAGCAAAGGTTGCCTGTCCAATATTGGTGCATTTTTATTTATTTATCTTAAATATACTACATGATTTGTATTTTGATGCCTTATTTATAGATTCACTAATCCAAAATGGTGGTTTTGTGATAATAACAGTAATGATGGACTTGCTGGTGGTCCTGGGTTATGTATGCCTGGCTGTGTGATAATAACAGTAATGATAACACTTGCTGGTGGTCCTTGGTTATGTATGCCAGGCTGTGTGTTAATAGGCAGTAATGATAACACTTGCTGGTGGGTCCTGGGTTTATGTTATGCCTGGCTGTGTGATATGTAGTAATGATAACACTTGCTGGTGGTCCCTGGGTTATATATGCCCGGCTGTGTGATAATAACATTAATGATAACCTTGCTGGTGGTCCCTTGGTTATGTATGCCTGGCTGTGTGATAATAACAGTAATGATAACACTTGCTGGTGGTCCCTGGGTTTTATGCCTGGCTGTGTGATAATAGCAGTAATGATAACACTTGCATTGGTCTCTGGGTTATGTATGGCTGTTTTTGATAATAACAGTAATGATAACACTTGCTGGTGGTCCCTGGGTTATGTATGCCCGGCTGTGTGATAACAGTAATGATGAACCTCTTGCTGGTGGTCCCTGGGTTATGTATGCCGGCTGTATGATAATAACAGTAATGATAACACTTGCTGGTGGTCCTGTGTTATGTGCTGGCTGTGTGGAGTAATAACAGTAATGATAACACTTGCTGGTGGTCCTGGGTTATGTATGCCTGGCTGTGTGATAATAACAGTGTGATAAAACTTGCTGGTGGTCCTGGGTTATGTATGCCCGGCTGTGTGATAATAACAGTAATGATAACATGTTGGTGGTCCCTGGGTTATGTATGCTCGGCTGTGTGATAATAACAGTAATGATAACACTTGCTGGTGGTCCCTGGGTTATGTATGCCTGGCTGTGATATTACAGTAATGGTAACATTGCTGGTGGTCCTGGGTTTATGTATGCCTGGCTTTTTGATAATAACAGTAATGATAACATTTGCTGGTGGTCCCTGGGTTATGTATGCCAGGCTGTGTGATGTAAATAATGGTAACACTTGCTTTGGTCCCTGGGTTATGTATGCTATTGTGTGATAATATGATAATGATAACCTTGCTGGTGGTCCTGGGTTATGTATGCTGTATAATAGCATGTAGATGTGATAACACTTGCTGGTGGTCCCTGGGTTATTGTATGCCAGGCTGTGTGTTAATAACAGTAATGATAACACTTGCTGGTGGTCCTGGGTTATGTATGTGCCCGGCTGTGTGATAATAACAGTGTGATAACACTTGCTGGTGGTCCCTGGGTTATGTATGCCTGGCTGTGTGATAATAACAGTAATGATAACACTTGTTGGTGGTCCCTTGGTTATGTGTGCCTGGTTGTGTGATAATAACAGTAATAACACTTGCTGGTGGTCCTGGGTTATGTATGCCCGGCTGTGTGATAATAACAGTAATGATAACACTTGCTTGTGGTCCTGGGTTATGTATGCCAGGCTGTGTGATAATAACAGTAATGATAACACTTGCTGGTGGTCCCTGGGTTATGTATGCCTGGCTGTGTGATAAGTAGTAATGATAACACTTGCTGGTGGTCGGGTTATGTATGCCGGCTGTGTGATAATAACAGTAATGGTAACACTTGCTTGTGGTCCCTGGGTTATATGCCAGGCTGTGTGATAATAACAGTAATGATAACACTTGCTGGTGGTCCCTGGGTTATGTGCGGGCTGTTGATGATAATAACAGTAATGATAACACTTGCTGGTGGTCCCTGGTTATGTATGCGGCTGTGTGATAATAACAGTAATGATAACTGGTGGTCCCTTGGTTATGTATGCCAGGCTGTGTGATAATAACAGTAATAATACTTGCTGGTGGTCCCTGGGTTATGTATGCCCGGCTGTGTGATAATAACAGTAATGATAACACTTGCTGGTGGTCCCTGGGTTATGTATGCCGGCTGTTGTGTGATAATAACAGTGTGATAACACTTGCTGGTGGTCCCTGGTTGTATGCCACTGTGTGATAATAACAGTAATGATAACACTTGCTGGTGGTCCCTGGGTTATGTATGCCCGGCTTGATAATAGCAATGATAACCTTGCTGGTGGTCCCTGGGTTATGTATGCCAGGCTGTGTGATAATAACAGTATTGATAACACTTGCTGGTGGTCCCTGGGTTATGTATGCCAGGCTGTGTGATAATAACAGTAATGATAACACTTGCTGGTGGTCCCTGGTTATGTATGCCTGGCTGTTGATAATAACAGTAATGATAACGCACTGGTGGTCTGGGTTATGTATGCCCGGCTGTGTGATAATGGCAATGTTGTGCCGTGCTGGTGGTCCCTGGGTTATGTATGCCCGCTGTGTGATAATAACAATGTGTGCCCTTGCTGGTGGTCCCTGGGTTATGTATGCCGGGCGTGGTAATAACAGTATGATAACACGCTGGTGGTCCTGGGTTATGTATGCCGGCTGTGTGATAATAACAGTAATGATAACACTTGCTGGTGGTCCCTGGGTTATGTATGCCTGGCTGTGTGATAATAATAGTAATGATAACACTTGCTGGTGGTCCCTGGGTTATGTATGCCTGGCTGTGTGATAATAACAGTAATGATAACACTTGCTGGTGGTCCCTGGGTTATGTATGCCAGGCTGTGTGATAATAACAGTAATGATAACACTTGCTGGTGGTCCCTGGGTTATGTATGCCCGGCTTACCAACATCCGCGAATTTGAACTTACAGTACAGTATATTATTTATAGATGACTTATTTTTTTACTCTATTTAGTACTGTATTTTGTCATTCAATTTCTTTTTCTCATAAATTCAGTAAACTAAATAATTTTAGCTGTAATTTAAGGACTTAGGCTATGATATTGTGGGATTTTAAACATTGTACTGTAAGTGCACTATGCACTTAGGGTATGTAGTTCAACTTATGTACAGTTTAACTTACAAGTGTCCGTAGGAATGGAACTTGTAAGTAACCCAGGGACTGTACATACTGTAATGATAACACACATAAGTTTCTAATAATAAATCTATATGGTAAAGGAAGGAATGAACTAGTTGAGCGTGTCAGCTTGGAGCCAGACATGTCCTCGATCCAGTGGTGACGAGCCCATGTAGCTCACAACCACTGACTGCTGAGTCCACACTCTCAACTAACTCAGAAAAAACATTCAAAATGCCACTGAGACTCTCCGAGACCTACATACATTAAACACAAAACCTCCCTCACCACACAACCTTATACCACAGCCCACAACCACTAGATACACTCTTCTAATGAACTTCTGTCTCAGAGGATGTTTTACCATACTCAGGAAGTTAAGTGACCAACAACATTCATCTGCTTTAACTTACTTGAGAGAGATTTGTGCTGGCCATGAGTGACACTTCCCACCTCTCTATGGGTGTCCTCAGGGCGTTGTCTGTCACCTGCTCCCCCACTTTGTTCTCACTGTCGTCCTCATCAGAGTCCCCGCCCTCTGACCCGGCTGCCTCCTCTTCCTTTCTCCGTCTCAACTTTTCTTCTGTATGTTCACGAATCTTCCTAGCTTTGTCTGTCTCACCTGTAAATAATGTTATAATAACTATATCACCTGTACCAGTGTGTTATAATAACTATATCACCTGTACCAGTGTGTTATAATAACTACATCACCTTTAACAATGTGTTATAATAACTATATCACCTGTACCAGTGTGTTATAATAACTACATCACCTGTAACAGTGTGTTATAATAACTATATCACCTGTAACAGTGTTATAATAACTATATCACCTGTAACAGTGTTATAATAACTACATCACCTGTACCAGTGTGTTATAATAACTATATCACCTGTAACAGTGTGTTATAATAACTGTATCACCTGTAACAGTGTTATAATAACTACATCACCTGTAACAGTGTGTTATAATAACTATATCACCTGTAACAGTGTGTTATAATAACTATATCACCTGCAACAGTGATATAATAACTACATCGCCTGTACCAGTGTGTTATAATAACTATATCACCTGTAACAGTGTGTTATAATAACTGTATCACCTGTAACAGTGTTATAATAACTACATCACCTGTAACAGTGTTATAATAACTACATCACCTGTACCAGTGTGTTATAATAACTACATCACCTGTACCAGTGTGTTATAATAACTATATCACCTGTAACAGTGTGTTATAATAACTGTATCACCTGTAACAGTGTGTTATAATAACTGTATCACCTGTAACAGTGTTATAATAACTACATCACCTGTAACAGTGGTTATATAATAACTATATCACCTGTAACAGTGTGTTATAATAACTATATCACCTGCAACAGTGTTATAATAACTACATCACCTGTACCAGTGTGTTATAATAACTGTATCACCTGTAACAGTGTTATAATAACTACATCACCTGTACCAGTGTGTTATAATAACTACATCACCTGTACCAGTGTGTTATAATAACTATATCACCTGTAACAGTGTGTTATAATAACTGTATCACCTGTAACAGCGTGTTATAATAACTGTATCACCTGTAACAGTGTTATGAGCAGAGTTGTAAGAAGTAATGGACTTTATTACTTAAATAACAGTATTGTTGCATTACATTGGCAAAATGTTACTCAAGTAGAAGTAAAAGTATCCAAAGATTAATGTACTAAAGTAGAAATAAAAAAAATCTTTCATAAAGTCTTTAAGTAATAAAAGTAAATACAAAATTATTGATTGTCTCAAATAGTTAACTAAAGACAGAAATAAGAGAGATACACAAGTTTATTTGTAAATATTTCTATTGAGATTAATCAATAACTGATTATCAAAATTATGGCTGTCCAATCAGGATATATTAGGCCTAAATGTAAGCCTAGTTCTACTGAAAGTTGTGTGGTGTTTATGTAATGCGAGCGAAAGTAACCGCTGTATGGCGTGAATGAGTGTGTGCACGAGTGGTGTCCTCTAGTGACGTGGATGTGTGCTGTTACCCAGCGTGTGAATGAAGTTGATGTCTGAGTAGTATATGACATAGCAGGAGGTTTCGTGATCATGTGTATTACCTCCTGTGAGAGCTGTTTCCTGCTGCACCACTCACAGACCTCTCTCCCAGTAAACTGCATCTGTGAAGACTGTGTTTCAATGAGCCAGTAACCAAGCAGAACTTGAACAAAGTGAATACAGCTCCCCGCCTCCCAAGTTTGTGGATTTTTATTTTGCAGTCTCACCATTCATGGATGACACCTGGATGTACCAATGCCTGTGTGTAGTTTTAAAATTGCCGCATTTTCACGGCCGTACAGGGAGCCATTAGTCCTAGAGACAAAAGGCGGAGCGCTAGGTGCAGTCGGTGGATTAGGCTGTGTGACCAGCCAGCGGGGGCGAGGTGCTGACCAGCCAGCGGTGAGCGAGGTGCTGACCACAGGGGTGAGGCGAGGTATGACCAGCCAGCAAGTGGGAGGCGAGGTGTTGACCAGCAGGTGAGGCGAGGTACTGACCAGCCAGCAAGTGAGGCGAGGTGTTGACCAGCAGGGGTGAGGCGAGGTATTGACCAGCCAGAGGGTGAGGCGAGGTGTTGACCAGAGGTGAGGCGAGGTGACCAGCCAGCGGTGAGGGGCAGCGGGGTGAGGCGAGGTATTGACCAGCCAGCGGGTGAGGCGAGGTGTTGACCAGCAGGGGTGAGGCGAGGTATTGACCAGCCAGCGGGTAAATTACTGACCCAGACGCTGTCATCGGTCATACTGAGGGAGTTTAAGTTTTTACCTTATAAAATGCCAATTAATTGACTTAGCAGAATATAACTCACATTGCTGGATTCTTGTAAGATAAGTGATTAATTTGAATATAAACAAGCTATAGTTTGCACTAGACAAAATTTTTAGTAATTATTTAGTACATTTGAGTACAGTACAGTTTGCCCTTAGGACAATTATTCTGTTCACTTTTTCACAATATGTATTTAGGATGACATGTGCATGTAATCGAGTAAAAATAAATGAAAAAAGTTACATATATCTGCCCAAAAATACGAGTTGAGAAACTTGTGCTAATATGTACTACACTAAAGGACTAAAATTTTATCTTTTGGGCCAAATATACTCTGTCTATATTTAAATTATTTGCTGTCTTGTAAGGATTCCAGCAATACAAGTTATATTCTGCCAAGACACAACTGATGCCTCACACCTGCGTGGGTCAAGCTTGGCTGCGTTGGGTAATGTTCCGCATCACTCTCGGTATGTCACATTTTTGATAAATTTATTTCTGATTATTTGTGAGAGTATTTTCCCATTATTATTTATTTGTATGTGTTTTGTGCCTGTCCACACACACATACAGTATATACCCTGCATAAAATACAGGTAAAAGAAACAATTGTCCTCAAGGCAAACACAAAGGGAACAATACATTTGTTTGTACACTTAAATGTGCCCCCCGGTCCATATTGAGAACCTAACCCCCATTAATTTGGAGGGCCCCCTGTACATTCAGCCACTCAGCTCCTTACAATCCCTCACAAGGCTGAGAATACGGTGATATCTCCGTTAGCCGTAACAATTGGTGCTGAACACTTCCGGGAATGAGGGATTTCCAGGTAACAAGAAGACTCTCAAAGCAGGAAAAAATCCCCCATCCCCGGAATTTTCCGGGGAACAGTAAATTGATCCCGGAAGTTCTAGAAATTGCCCACTACATCATATCTCGAACCCGGAAAAGTATCCCTCATCCGTGAAATTTTCCGGGTATCGAAATAATTTTCCGGAAAATTGTTCCCAAAGCTGGAATTTTCCGGAAAATTTCAGCTTTGGGAACAATTTTCCGAGAAATTTCTATTCCGGCCATCGGAGAGTTCCGGGTTTGAGGGATTCCGGCTACCGGAGATATTACAGTACCGTACAGGTATATCCATCCAACACTACGATCACTTCCTTATCCACACAAGTATCGTCGACGTGGACTTAAGGCCCACAGACATAATGTTGTCTCTGCTGGCATTAGGTGAGGATACAGACCTATCTGAGGTGGGGGATGACCTGCACTTCTCTTCCTGTAACTGTCTCAACACTAACACCCATCAGCACTACTGTATTGACTGTCCCACTGTCAGGGACCTCCTACCACAGGGAGAGTCACTCACCACTATATGTCACCACCTACTTATACATTATAATTTAGATCTAATTATTGTCCACTACCCACACTTTGGTGGGTGCTAACTCCCATTGTCCTTAAATCATATCAATATTGTTACCATATCACAAGTCACAGTGTGTCCTGTGAGACACGAGTACCAGTGTATTAGTGTCTGACCGCAGGGTCTTGTGACTGGACTTGTTGCCTTCTGGGGTGCAATAAATCAATTATTTAATATATAAATAAATAAATAGCCCAACATGACTAAATGGACACTCACAAGCAACAGATGCAGGTAGTGGGGTGTTAAGCTTGAGAGATAAGTCACATAATGTCAGGAAAGACCTAAGTAGCTCCATTCCACCCCCTGGGCATGCCAAGTAAACTATCAAGTTCCTTCAGTTGAGGAGTTTGTGGATGATTGTTGCCTCCATAGTGACTGAGTCTGACTAAGACTCCCTGTGAACTATTCCTCTAATTGGGGTGTGGCCGTGGTGACGTTACTCTTCGATTCTAATTGACGAGTGGCTGAATTTTGCTGGGGGGGGGAGTCAGTGGTACTTTTTTATTTTTATTTTTTTAAGGGAATAGCCCACCAGGCACAGGTCATCAACCCACAACGGAGCCCAGGGGGCAGAAAAATAAGAGTAAAAAGAAATTAAAAATAGAAAAGGTAAAGGTTATATCAATCTACAAAACAAAGATGCCGGAAAACCGGCTTTTTGAAGTGAGACACATTGTATGAGTGTGGAAACACAGAAGAAGGCAGAGCATTCTGCAGTTTGGCTGTGTGAGGAAAGAAGGAGGTACTATAATGGGTTATTTTAGTGTGACCGACATCCACAGAGAAACGGTGGGCACCGCCGGCAAGAAGTGTGTTACGAGCCCACGGCCTTGCCTGCGGTACACAGGATGCCAAATCCACCGAACATTGTCAACTAAAGGAGGAGAGTCAATAAGCCTTTGATTTCACCCTATCTAACAGTTGGACAGAAGAAGAGCCACCCTAGATATGAGAGCAGCGCACCAAGTTAGGACGAATGAATCCCTTATACAGTGACCCCTCGGTTAACGAACTCAATCCGTTCCAGAAGGTCGTTCGTTAACCGAAACCATTGTTTCAATGGGTTTTGGGGTAATTGGTTCCAGCTCACCGAAAATTTCCTAAATTCAACAAAAATGGCAGAAAAGTTCACTTACTTTGAGGTGTGTATGTAGAAGGCTCCTGGATGATGATGATGATGATGATGGGAATTACAATGGGGGTGGAGGAGAAGGAAGAAGAGAAGGCATTGGGGTGGAAGAGAAGTCACCCCATGGCACCATTTCACCCATAAAATTTTAGTTCTCTTGGTGTATTTCAAGATTATTTTCTTTAAATCAACACTGTACTGCATTATATATTGTCAATATGTAAAATATATTTCAAAATGACCAATAATTTGCTTGGAAACACAGAAAAAAGCGTTTAGTTGAAGAGAGTCTCAAGCAAGATGTTACCTCCAGTGAAAACAGAGAGACTAACGCCTGTTTGCTGTGTTAAGAGGCTGGATGCTGCACTTTAAACTAGTCACTTTAACTTCAATTATGTTCAATAATTGTTAAAATGACTAAAAAATTGAATATTAAACTTTTAAAATTATTGAATAGTATAAACTTCTTGAAATTACTAAAATAGTAAGGAATTTAAGCCCTAGAACCGATTAATGTATTGGCGGACTGATACTAAAGCTGGTTGCCCGGCCAGTGCAAGCGAAAACATGTTGAGGTCGGTTCGTAAGAAATTCGTTAACCGAATTGAAGATCCTTATGGAAGGCAGTTCGTTAACCGAAATTTCGTTAACCAAGGCGTTCGTTGAACGAGGGGTCACTGTATACTTGAAGCAACGGCTCAGGAGTGAAGTAGCTACAGCATCTATACAGCATTCCCAACTTTTGGGAGGCAGCTTTAACTATATTGTGGATGTGTGGCTTCCATGACATACTAGAGGAAATGGTGAGACCTAGCTTATCTATTTTAGAACTTGACATAATGATTGCGTCCTGAAATGTGATTGGTGGGAGATCATCTAATTGGTGACTACCGAGTTTTATAACGGTTGAATTTAACCAAGTTTCTACCTCCCTATTTGGAGATGCTGCACAGATCCGCATTGATAGATGAAATGATATCAGCTCTAGAAACAGGTCTAGTTTGAGAGTTAGGAGGAAGGGGAAAATGTGAAGAAGAGTGAAAAGTAGAATCATCGGTGTAAGAACGGATAGAATTAGTTGTAGTGTGAAGTAAATCATTGATAAAAAGAAGGAAGAGAGTCGGTGAAAGAACAGAACCCTGTGGGACACCACTACTGGTAGAGAAAGAGCGAGAGATCGCTCCCTCAACAACAACTGCCATGGATCGGTTCTCAAGGAAGCTAGAGATTAGAGAACAAAGTGGTGGAGAGAAACCATGTATAGATACAGGCATTTTACAATCAGAGCCTCATTGAAATTTATTTTAGTTACAGGTAGTAATACTGTATCCCTCAAACCCAGAACTCTCCGATAACCAGAATTTAAATTTTCTCGGAAAATTCTGAGAAAATTTTCCCAATACCCATAATATCCGGGGATGGGGGAACTTTTTTCCGGGCTTAAGAGATGAAAATCAGGCGCATTTTCTGGAAATTCCGAGAAAAGTTTTCCATTACCCGGAAAATTCCGGGGATGAGGGAAATGTTTCCGGCTTTGAGTCATCTCGTTACCCGGAAATCTCTCATTCCCAGAAGTGCTTAGCACCAATTGTTACGGCTAATGGGGATATTACTGGTACCTGCACAGTATATGCAAAGAGCAACTGACATCTCATGGGAAGACCAAGCCCCTGAAGGAAAGGTGGGGGAGAAGAGAGGGACTTTGATGGAGGAAGGGGGGATAAGAGGTGAGGTGGGGGGGATAAGATGAGGTGGGTGGTCAGGGTGCAAAGGTAAATCCAAGGGAGGGGTCCTGGGGGTACAGACCCCCCCCCCCTTTTATCAGAAAATTCCATTACTTTTTCTTTAAAGTATTATTGTACTCAGGCAATTTTTTCTTAATAAGTAATTACTATTAACCTCAGAATATTTCCTAATATCAAGTGCATGTGGCTTCAAAATGCCTGTGATATTGGTCAGATTTTAAAAAAAGAAGCTGGGTGGGCTCATTTTGCTCACCATGTTCCACCACCCAAAAATTCTTGGATCCACAACACTCTTTGATATTCCTGGATCCATCCCCGAGGTGCTGATGAACACAAGAAGATCAAAGGGAAAGTCCGCTCTCATGGTGACTGCCACCTGACGTCACCTCACCTCATGAGACCTCTAGGTATGTAACCGGGTGGTGCCTCCCCACACCATACCCTCCACCCACCCAACTCTTTTACTATAGTTAATAATTAATTAATTAAAAAATATATATTATCAGTTTGCCAGACATTAAAACTCTTTGTTTGGAGAAAGTAACAAGTAAAAATTTTGTGTTTTGTTTTCAGTTGTTTTGGAGTAAAAGTATTTTAAAACCTTACTTCAGTAAAAGTACTAAAAAATTGGAGTACTTTTAAAAAAATAAATACCCAAAAATGTTACTCGAGTACAGTATGCAAGTAAATTTACTTAGTTACTTTACAACTGAGGTTATTAGTAACTATACCACATGTAACTGTCTCTAACGCCATGAGAAGACAACAATGAAGTATTACACAACCTTGACCCACATACAGCTGTGTTGTGGTGGACAGGCTGACCTATATATTGACAAAGGATATACAGGGTCTCTCACAAAAATGTATGCACATGCCCTTAACAGATTTGTGTAGTGTGTGGACAATGTTGTTGTTGTCATACATGGTCCTCCCTTGATGTGAGGTCTCCCAGGAGTGTGTCAGGTAGTGTGTGTAAATTTTTCCGAGACTGTACATTTAGCCAATGAACCAAGATACAACTACTGAAGGTACCTGGGGAGCCTGGCTGGACACATACCACAGTGGGAAGCTGCACCTGATATAAAGTTCAAAGTGAACCTAACATTAACTTAATATTTGTAGTGTACAGTCACCTACTAAAGTCCACTTGCCTCTCCCCTGAACCCCAAGATTTAGACTCATGAACCCAAAGCAATAAACCGATACATTATTCTGTCCATAAATGCTCCAGATTCACGAGTCTGAATCTCAGGGTTTGTGGTTCAGGGGAAGAGGTGAACTGGCTTTATTAGTTGACTGTACATAAGGACTGAGAAATATAGCGTCAACACACCTAGTGGCGGCTGTAGGTACTTGGGGTCTATAGACTGGCCAAGCTGTAAGATAGCCTGAGCCAAGTCCTTCACTGCCCGAGCTTTTAAAACCTCACTCAAGAGTTCTTCTGTATCCTGTTCACCGTTAACCTCTTGACCAACTTCCATCTGAAAATTATATAAACACTGCCAGCACAATATAAACAATGTATAACACTATAGTAACAATGTATAACACAAAAGTAACAATGTATAACACTATAGTAACAATGTATAACACTATAGAAACAAAGTACAGTAGGACGTCGATATAACGCGAGGTACGTTCCAAGAGAGGTCACTTTAAACTGAATTCGCACTAAATCAAAGTGTTGTTTCACTGGAATAATTTAGTTTGGTATTTGAGAGAAAAAAAATACTAAAAAGACTAAGAGTCTATCCAGATGTACCTCAGCCCATCTCCTAGAATAAACAAAACATTGTTTTTTGTAGTATTATGTTAAAACAAACACTCATAAATCAACACAGCTAAAATTTGGGGACGTGAAATGGTCTGTTTACTGGCTGGGAAGATGGTGGGGGGGGGGAAGTGAGGTGATATGTTTGACAGTTGATGCCAAGGTCAAGTGCTTATTTATTTATCTGTCCTTAAGAGTGACTCAGTTTTTCTCTTATAAAATGACACTGAACTGACATGCTCTAATTAATTTTATTACAAAGGGCTAAAATTTTTATCTCTTGTGAAAATATGACATTTATATTCAGCTTATTCGCTGTCTTGCAAGGATTCTAGCAATGTAAATTATATTCTCCTAACTTTAGTCTGTGATATTATATAAGAAAAAACTGTAAGCCTATAACCACCCAACCCTGGCTGGGAAGATGGAGGAGGGACATGCTTGACGGTTGGCACTGAAGGTCTAGTGAAGTATTTATTTGTTTATTTATGTCCTTTAGATTGAGTTCATGTTTTTTGCTTATAAAATGTCACAGAAGTGACCGGGGAGAATATAATTTACATTGCTGGAATTCTTATAAGATAGTGATTAATTTTAATATAATCACGCTATAGTTTGCACTTGACAAAAATCTTATAATCATTTAGTACATTATTTTGAGTACATGTACAGTACAGCTTTGGCCTTAGGACAGTGTAGCGTGCCCAGAGAAACATTAGGCGCGAATTTTAGAATATGATGCACCAGATTGACTCGCGCAAAATAGGAAAGATTCGCTTTAAATTAAAACATTGTCCGTAATTGTGGGTGTCGCTTTAAATCAATATTAAATTGAATCGCTTTAAATTGACGTTCTACTGTATAGTACTATAGAAACAATGTATAACACTATAGAAACAATGTATAACACTATAGAAACAATGTATGGCATTATAGCAACAATGTATAACACTAGAGAAACAATGTATGGCATTATAGAAACAGTGCCAACACAATACAGGGGTCCCCAACTTACGAACGCCAGCCAATAGAAACGAGGTCCCATAAGGTCAATTATTTAAAAAATCTGACATAAGTACAATGGTTCGTAGCAGCTACGTACGAAAACTAGCTCGCGCGGCGTAGAGGTGCAGGGAGAGTAAGGCATCGCACCCAGTCACACACCTTGAGGGAGACGGAGCGTCAGTACGCTTTATCCTCGTCACCTTACCGTGCGTGATCCAGTGCAAACTGAGATTTTTTTCTTATTAACTCTCTTATTTGGTCCTCATCATGGCTCCCAAACCTGATGTAAGTGATAGTAGTGCACCCAAGAAAAGGAAAACATTTGCAATAGAAGTGAAATTTGATGGACTGTAATTAAACGTTCTGAAAAATGCTAAACACCGTCAGCGATCGGTAAGGCTTCAGCCGCTCAACGGTTGGAACAATTTTGAAAGATGGAAAATTCTTGAACATGTTAAAGGACTCAACTATCATAACTAAACAAAGAAGTGGATTGATAATTGAAATGGAAATGTTGTTAGAGATATGGGTGGAAGATCAAAATCAATGGTGTCTGCCTCCAAGTCTAGCCTTGATTCAAGAAAAAGCGAGAAGCTTGCACGCTGACTTGAAGGCTAAATGTGGTGGTGAAAGTGATGGGTAAGATTTTATGCTAGTAGGGGCTGGTTTAACCGGCTCAAAGCAAGGGCAAACTTACATACCGTAACATTAAAGTGCAAGATGAAGCAGCCAGTGAACTTCCTGCTGCTTTAGCTAAAATAATTGAAGGAGGTTATTGTGCTGAGCAAGTTTTCAATATTGATGAGACTGGTTTATTATGGAAAAGGATGCCCAAACGCACGTGCCTTTCAAAACATTGTGAGAAAAAAAAGCACCAGGGTATAAAGCTGTCGGAGAGAGGCTGACCTACTGCTGTGGGGTAATGCTCCTGGAGACTACAAACTAAAACCTTTACTTGTCTACCAGTCAGAAAATCCTAAAGCTTTGAAGGGTGTTTTCAAGGCAGCACTTCCAGTTATCTGGAAAGTTAATAAGAAGGCTTGAGTGACATTGACCCTTTTTGAAGACTGGTACTGTTATCACCGCTGGCTTTTGCTGCCTTACCCGAACAAACAATAAATCTCTCGGCCTGCGACCACATACTCCGTGACCTCGCCAGATGTAGCAGCTGAGGGGGGCGGTGTGTACAGACAAGAGAACCCGGTACTGCTGAGCGTGTGGTTTGGAGGATGACGTGGCCACCTGACCTCCATGATAGCAGATCGCCCTCTCCAGTGATGTTCTGAGGACCAGCCCTCTGCTAGCAGTGGTGAACACCGACCCAAAATCCTGGCCGAGTTTTGTGCTGGAACAATTGACGCAGCACTATAGTCTCTTGGAACACCATACTGGTTCACATTGACCCGCACTTGTAAGTTCAGCCTAAGTGATGACATACCCCTCAGTACTGAAATGTTGTGGACTAATTATGCCTACTCGTTTCTCCCTTATCTGGAGCATTAAGACAATGCGGACTGAAGTATAACTAAGATTAATAGTTATGAACTTTGTATCATGTCACTATGCTTAATAATCAATTGTAATTAAGATGAAATTGTGTGAGACTAAGTAATTATGTATCAGATGGATCACCATGTTTTATCACACCAATAAATATAAAATGCATCAAAAGGCGAGTTTCAATCATTTTCCTTCGACTTGCCCATCACCCGAAGGTCCTTAACTAAGGCGTTTACAGGTACCTTAACCATTTTGTGCCTGAAATGGAGCATTATTGTACAGCATTTCAAAATAAATGCCTTTTAAAATTCTCTTGGTTCTTGACAATGCACCAGGCCATCCAGCCTCTTTAGATGACGTTCATCCAAACATTGAGGTTGTGTTTCTTCCTTCTAATACAACATCTGTTTTACAATCGATGGACCAGGGAATTATTGTTTCATTTAAAGCATATTACCTGAGAAGGACATTTGCTTAGTTTTCAGGGCGGCAACAAAAGAGGGTAGGACTTTAAAGGAATTTTGGAAATCCTACAACATTTTGGATGCTATGAAGAACATTGAAGATTCATGGGCAGAGGTAAAAGAAACCAACATGAATGGTTTGGGACAAATTTCTGCCCACAATTTGTCCATGATTTCAGGGGCTTTGAAGATGATGTTGGGGAAGTGACTCATACAGTGGTAGACCTTGGGAACCAACTCCAACTTAATATTCATGAGGATAATGTCACACAGTTGCTTGAGTTCCATGCTGAAGAACTAAGCAATGAGGACCTGATTGGACTGAAGCAAATCTTGTCAGAGGATGTAGAAGAAACTGAAACTCCAGGGCCAAAGGGATTCATTACAAAACACATGGTAGAAAATTTCAGACCTGTTGAAGGAAGATTGTTTAAATCTGAACAGCAAGAACCCACACAAGAAGAATACCAAGATTCATAGAGGTGTTATTGAATGTCTACGATGCTACAGAGAGATTTATGAAGAAAAGAAGAAAGTTAGTTCAACCATCACTTGAAATATGTCGAAAGGCAGCCAATACTAGTCCCAACAACCTCTGTAGCATCTACAGAACTAGTTCATTCTACCTCACCAGATTCTCCTGTTAACACCTACATCATCATCACCATCTTCAGTTTTGTCCCAATAAAGCCTCTGTCACTTCTACAAATGCCCATATCTACATGCAAGCCACAGCCCCATGCTTCATTGTTCTTTTACCGGAATTAGCCCACAACAGGGCCTAGGGGGGCGAAAAAATAAAAACAGAAAAATTAAAAATAGAAAAAAAAAAGGTTATACTGTATTAATCTACACCACGAAGATGCCAGAAAACCATCTTTTTAAAGTGAGACAGATTGTATGAGTATGGAAACACAGAAGAAGGCAGAGCATTCCACAGTTTGGCTGTGTGAGGAAAGAAGGATACACTATAACGGGTTATTCTCGTGTGACCGACATCCACAGAGAAACGGTGGGCACCGCGGGCAAGACGTGTGTTATGAGCCTCGGCCTTGCCGGCGGTACACAGGATCTCAAATCCACCGAACATTGCCCGTTAAAGTACCTGTAAAAGAGAGAGAGTGAAGCAACATTGAGGCGAAGAGAAAAGGAAGATAGATTGTCAACTAAAGGAGGAGAGTTAATAAGACGAAATGCCTTTGATTCCACCCTATCTAACAGTTGGACAGAAGAAGAGCCACCCCAGATATGAGAGCAGTACTCCAAGTTAGGACCAATGAATCCCTCATATACTTAAGCAACTGCTCAGGAATGAAGTAGCTACGGCATCTGTACAGCATTCCCAGCTTTCGGGAGGCAGCTTTAGCAATGTTAAGGATATGTGACTTCCATGACAAATTAGAGGAAATGGTGAAGCCTAGCTTATCTATTTCAGAATTTGGCAGAATGATAGCATCCTGAAATGTAATTGGTGGGAGATCATCTAATTTAGAAAGTGTAATTGGTAAATACTGAGTTTTATTACTATTAAATTTAACCAAGTTTCTACCTCCCTATTTGGAGATGCTGCACAGATCTGCAGTGACAGATGGAAGGATATCAGCTCTAGAAACAGATCTAGTTTGAGACTTAGGAGGAAGGGGAAAATGTGAAGAAGAGTGAAGAGTAGAATCATCAGCGTAAGAATGGATAGAATTAGTTGTAGTGTGAAGTAAATCATTGATAAAAAGAAGGGAGTAGGTGAAAGAACAGAACCCTGTGGGACACCACTATTGGTAGAGAAGGAGCAAGAGATCGATCCCTCAACAACAACTGCCATGGATCGGTTCTCAAGGAAGCTAGAGATTAGAGAACAAAGTGGTGGAGAGAAACCATAAGGGGGAAGTTTAGAAAGCAAAAGACTTGTGCCATACCCTGTCAAATGCTTTGGAGATGTTGAGGGCCACAACGAGAGTTCCCCATAATCCCTAAGAGAGGATGACCAAAGATGGGTGCAATAGGAGAGGAGATCACCAGTAGATCTCGCCTGGCAAAAGCCAGACTAGTGATCTGACAAAAGAGAATGGTGTTCAATGTAAAAGTTAAACTTAAATTTTTACCTTTCTTTACTGTATTTTGTAATACAATTTCTTCTTTTCTTTTAAATTAAGTGATTCAAGATGTATATAAGGACTTGGGCTATGATATACATTAAGTCCTCGTTTAGCAATGCCCTCGACAACGTTGTTTCGTTGTATTTTCGCTACTCTTTAGATACCCATGATTCTGACAACGTCCTGACCGATTCGTTATAACGTTGTCCCCCAACATGGACCACTCTGTATGGTGCATCATCCTCTCTCATCTATGCTCTCTCGCGAAGCATCACAGCATCCCCAGTCTTTGTATGGCTTCCACAGTCTTATACCATGGCTTACAGACTTCCTCAGTGACCGACGCCAAGCTGTACGCTTCCGAGGGGCTGTCTCCACCTTTCAGTCACTCACCTGTGGTGTCCCCCAAGGCACCAAGATGGGACCACTCTGCTTCCTTATGCTCATCAATGATGCCCGAAGAGAAACCCCTGCTCGCTGGAAATATGTCGACGACTCCACCATTGGGATCAGCATCAACAATTCTGCTCCCGACTATACCGCCCTTCAGGATTTATTGAACAGTCTCCAAAACTGGGCCACCAACAACCATGTCACCATCAACCATACCAAGACCATGGTTATGCACATCAACCTCTCCTCCGACGTTGTCCCACCCCCTTCCATTACTTTAGGTCCCAACACACTCCAGGTTGTAGATATCACTAAGCTCCTCGGCATCACCATAGACAACAAACTAAATTGGAAACCACACGTCAGTGAAGATGTCAAATCCTCCAGTTTCCGTCTCCACCTCCTCCGCCGACTCAAGTCCCTCGGAGTTCCTGCACCCGAGCTCCTCAGTGTTTACTCAACATTCATACTTCCCAAGCTCACCTATGCCTCCCCTACCTAGTCTTCCTCCCTAAATGCCACACAACATAAACACCTAGAAAAAGTGCAAAAGAGAGCAGGCAAGATTATTCTCTCTCCTTCCTACTCCACATATCAAAAGCGCTCAACACACTGACCCTTTCAACTCTCACTGACCATCACCACGACCTCATCTGCAAACTTGGTAAGAAGCTTCTGCACCATCCTCGACACCGGCTCCTACAACCACCTGAGATCCCTAGCCCGAGAATTGCTGTTCGACACCACATCCGCATCCAGCCCATACGTGCACGAACTGATCGCTATAAGAACAGCCCAGTCCCAACCATTGTAAAAATTATCAATAACTTGTAATAAACCAGTGTATTCACTCCCAGTAAATACTACTTCTTGCACTCTCACTATGTTGAAATGCCCTGTAGTTTGAGCTTTTCCCCATCTAGTTATTATATATCTTATTTATATTACTTATGTTATTTGTATATTATTTGTAATTCGAAACCCATTCCCTAAATATGTAACTGTATATTTTCAGCCTTCTGGCTGCCAGCTCTTTCAATAAACCGTTAATTATTATTATTATTATTAAGTGTTTTTGTTATAAATACTGTACTGTAACCATTCAAAATGGCATCCAAGCACCCATCATGTGTTAGTGAAGCTAGTACTGTGAAGAAGCAACGCAAGACCATTACCCTTGATACAAAAATGGAGGTTTTAAACCCACCACACACTTGCTCCACCTCTGCCCATCAGTGAGTACAATACAAAATGATTTAGTTTATTTATCTTTTTGGATGTACAATATAATATACACCATTTTCTATAAAAATTCCATTGAATTTCTATATATGTAATGTATTTTATGGTGCAAAGAGAGGCTGGGGAACATAACTCCCATACTTTATCTATGTCTTATGGGGAAAATTGATTCCATTAACGTTGTTTTTCAAGAACGTAACCACGACATTAGACGAGGGCTTACCGCAGTGCACATGGGGAACGTGTTCCGACTCAAGGACAGCCTCGGGAGACGAACCCGTACGTAACCCCGGGACCCCCGTACAAACACCGACACATAATCACAGCCAACACTATACAAACTTTGCCAGTTCCAACATACCCTAAGCAGAGAAATGCGCTTCCGGCCACCAAAGTCCAGCTCTGACTCCCTGAGGTAGCTGCCCTCCACGATGGCTCGTCTCCAGGCCTCCCGGTCCTCCAGACGGAGTGAACCCAACATCCCCATGTGTATCTTCTCTTCAGTCTCCAGCACCATGTCCCGCAGGGTGGCCTGGAGGATCTCATCAATGGGCGTCCCCGGTGGGAAGTTCAGATTGGCGTCTCCATCCTTTTTGGTTGTTAAGTTCCGCTGTGACTTGCGGATGGATTGATCTAAATCAGGTTCCTGTAATAATAGAAGATAAACATTACTTATACTTGATTACCGTCACACTTCATCAAATGGACGACTTTCACTGATGATGGCCACTGTCCCAACAGCTAACTTTCACTGATGATGGCCACTGTCCCTACAGCTAACTTTCACTGATGATGGCCACTGTCCCGACAGCTAACTTTCACTGATGATGGCCACTGTCCCTACAGCTAACTTTCACTGATGATGGCCACTGTCCCGACAGCTTTCACTGATGATGGCTTTTTCACTGATGATGGCCACTGTCCCTACAGCTAACTTTCACTGATGATGGCCACTGTCCCGACAGCTAACTTTCACTGATGATGGCCACTGTCCCGACAGCTAACTTTCACTGATGATGGCCACTGTCCCGACAGCTAACTTTCACTGATGATGGCCACTGTTCCGACAGCTAACTTCCACTGATGATGGCCACTGTCCCTACAGCTAACTGCCACTGATGATGGCCACTGTCCCTACAGCTAACTTCCACTAATGATGGCTGACCTCTTTAAGCTAACTTCTACATTTGATGGCTGACCTCCTTACAGCTAACTTCCACCATTGATGGCTGACATCCTTACAGCTAACTTCCACCATTGATGGCTGACATCCTTACAGCAAACTTCCACCATTGATGGCTGACATCCTTACAGCTAACTTCCACCATTGATGGCTGACATCCTTAAAGCTAACTTCCACCATTGATGGCTGACATCCTTACAGCTAACTTCCACCATTGATGGCTGACATCCTTACAGCTAACTTCCACCATTGATGGCTGACATCCTTACAGCTAACTTCCACCATTGATGGCTGACATCCTTACAGCTAACTTCCACCATTGAAGGCTGATATCCTTACAGCTAACTTCCACATCGATGGCTGACATCCTTACAGCTAACTTCCACCATTGATGGCTGACATCCTTACAGCTAACTTCCACCATTGGCTGACACCTTTCCACCATTGATGGCTGACATCCTTACAGCTAACTTCCACCATTGATGGCTGACATCTTAGCTAACTTCCACCATTGATGGCTGACATCCTTACAGCTAACTTCCACTAATGATGGCTGACATCCTTACAGCTAACTTCCACCATTGATGGCTGACATCCTTACAGCAAACTTCCACCATTGATGGCTGACATCCTTACAGCTAACTTCCACCATTGATGGCTGACATCCTGACAGCAAACTTCCACCATTGATGGCTGACATCCTTACAGCTAACTTCCACCATTGAAGGCTGACATCTTTAAGCTAACTTTTACAGTTAATGGCTGACACTTAAGGGTTAAGGACACTCTGAGTCATAAAGGTTTGTCACTAAAACTTTAAATAGTTAAATAATCCTCGCGTTTAAGATAAATGAGAGGAAAAAAAATCCCAATGACTGGTGAATGGGACAACCTACATGTAGTTCAACATAACAAGTTTGACAACATACAGTTATAACAGTCCACATACCTGACACTTTCACAACACACAGTTATAATGGTCCACATACCTGACACTCACAACACACAGTTATAACAGTCCACATACCTGACACTTTCACAACACACAGTTATAATGGTCCACATACCTGACACTCACAACACACAGTTATAACAGTCCACATACCTGACACTTTCACAACACACAGTTATAACGGTCCACATACCTGACACTTTCACAACATACAGTTATAACAGTCCACATACCTGACACTTTCACAACACACAGTTATAACAGTCCACATACCTGACACTTTCACAACACACAGTTATAACAGTCCACATACCTGACACTTTCACAACACACAGTTATAACAGTCCACATACCTGACACTTTCACAACACACAGTTATAACGGTCCACATACCTGACACTTTCACAACACACAGTTATAACAGTCCACATACCTGACACTTTCACAACACACAGTTATAACGGTCCACATACCTGACACTTTCACAACACACAGTTATAACAGTCCACATACCTGACACTTTCACAACACACAGTTATAACAGTCCACATACCTGACACTTTCACAACACACAGTTATAACAGTCCACATACCTGACACTTTCACAACACACAGTTATAACGGTCCACATACCTGACACTTTCACAACATAGTTATAACTGTCCACATACCTGACACTTTCACAACATAGTTATAACTGTCCACATACCTGGGAGGGATCTAGTTTGTACACAGGGCACGCCTTCATTGAAGCTTCTACTGTAGTTCTGTAACACTCTAACGCGCTCTTGAGCTCTTTTTCTCTGGATCCTCTACTGTTAAGGGACATGAATAAAGAATTCAAGTCTTCTACACTGTGGAAAAAGAACCACTTGTGACGATCTCGTCTCTCCGAATGCACCGGACAGTTTCTGGGATTAGCCGTACACAGACCAAATATATCCGGCATCGGACTACGGTCATCGTCCATAACTAAAGCTTCACCGTCTGTTTCCAGCTTCACGTCACCACTCAAATTTATGTCCATTTTCAACTCCGACTCGGCACCGTCAGGGGACAACACCGAACACTTCTCCGTCTTAACCTGGTGTGACGGTTGATTGTGATTGAGAGTCTGTAACAGTTTCTTACTTGGAGTGCCTTTGGCTTGCTTAGCGGGGCTCTCACTGCCATCATTTTCCTTGTCACTGTTGCTCTTGTCGTCCTTCTCGGCGATAGTTTCCGACATGTTCTTCTTGGCCTGCACTCTCAACACCTCCACGAGTGCGTCGGTAAGATCGGGATTGGACTGAGGGTTGTAGGGTGTTGGAGTCTGCCGACACACTCCCGGGTGCTGCTCGTTATCCTCCACGAACAGTCCGGGGAGAGAATTGAACAGCCAATAACGGCGAAATGCTCTGTCGTGGCCTAAAGGTTGACTGTTGACACCTTGAGCCATATTAAGCACCTGGAAAGACAAGCATTTTATTAAAAGAATTGAAGTAATAGCCATAAGTCTGAGGGCTGGTGACCACAGAGCTCCACTTCATCTCTATCCTTGATCCTACCGTCACTCCTTAAGCTGATATTATTTTTCTTAATGTATGAAAGTTCAATATTTCTCATTACTTAACCTACTTTAAATACCTCACTTGTTTCCTGTCAGTTTAACATAATTTTAACATTCTCCTGAAGCAATACATTATTAAGGCTTCTAACTCCTTTCTGGTGTCTACCAAAAGTGTCTACACTTCTGAACACACAATATGTAATAGTAGTCAGGATGAGCTTCCTTGCCAGCCTTGGTAGAGCAATGGACAAAGGTGTGTGTGTGTGTGGTTGCCCCTCGTGTAACCCGGGCAGGGTGAAACTATGGTCAAGTTTCTTTACGCCATTTGCCTCTGTCTACCCAGCAGTAATTGGATGTTAATCGATTTGCGGATCGTATTCCGGGGTAATGGTTAGTCAGTGCAATTGGTGAGTTGTCCGGTCTTCACGAACTGTTCCTTGACACTGGGTCGTGCAACTCGTTAACTTAGGGTGTGGTTGTTGTGTTGGCGACAGCTTTTACGCCTTAAATAAATTCACACCAAGGTGGCCCTTGGGCCAGTCATCCTCGTTACACAAGGGGCAACCATTATGTATGACTGATGTCATATGGTGTACTGTACTGAGGTCATCACAACTGGGCTCATTCTTGACACAGGGTTACACAGTTCATGAATTATCCAGGGGTGTGATTAACACTTCAGCCGGCCAATGACACGATTTGGGTCACTAGACGGGCCATGAGGAACAAAATGTCCCCCTTCACCCTGAGAGCACACCAGCCATCCTTGGGTCACTAGACGGGCCATGAGGAACAAAATGTCCCCCTTCACCCTGAGAGCACACCAGCCATCCTTGGGTCACCAGACGGGCCATGAGGAACAAAATGTCCCCCTTCACCCTGAGAGCACACCAGCCATCCCATACCATTTATACAAATATTTTGTTCTTTTAACTATAAAACAAAAACAACACAAATGGCAAATAAAATAAACGAAAAATCTAACGCATTTCAGATGCCGCAGATAGCATCACCGGCCGGTCTACGGGCGAGGTTTAGACCGCATGGGTGGCAAGTGAACGGGTTAAGTGGGAGCTTCTACACCACTGATAAACTGCTGCTTAGATTGTTCCAAGACAATTGTCCTCACTCACAAGGGGATAACATCAGCAGCATTTACAACAATTTTCCATGTTTATGTTGGGCAGCCATGACTCCCTCGAACTCAAATAAACGCAAATCTTACTCCTACCAACTTTGCATAAAAAAAAGGGCGAGAAGGCCCCCCACCTAAAAATAATAATGCGAATAGTGCCCTTATGAACAAAATTCTGGCATACTCAGCTATAAAAATTAAAGCAAAACCACCTCTTCTGTACTCAGTGTTAAACCCAGACACTAATTCTGATTCGCCTTCCGCAAAATCGAAGGGAGTTCGGTTTGTCTCAGCTAAACAAGAAGCAAACCAAATTAAAGCTAACGGCAATGTAACCCACAAAAATCACACACTTTCTTGGTATAAATTAAAAAGTTCTAGACTAAAACCACCAACTAAAAAAATAAAAGAAAGCAAAATTAAAGCAAGACTAACTTCATAAGAAATAGTTTGAGCAATGGCGCGGAGCCTACCTAACAAAGAATATTTACAGTTAGAAGCTCAACCAGCTCTTATAGTTGAATAAACACCTAATCTTAAACAGAACAAGAAAAAAAGTACTCCAATATTTAAGTTTATTATTCCAACTTCATATGGAATTACTAACCATACAATTAATGCAGTAAACAAACTAAAAACAGGTGAAGCATAGTATGGAAGAAAATTAGATTTTACAGGTACCGTTTGCTCTTTAGTAAATAACTTCACAGCGTCCGCAAAGGGTTGTAGCAGTCCAATAAAACCATCTTTATTTGGTCCTTTACGAATTTGGATATACCCTAAAATTTTACGTTCTAATAAAGTAACAAATGCAACACCCACAAGAACACAAATAATCAAAATTAAATAACTCACAAATATAACTAAAGCCATCACAAACTGTTTTATTCAAACATTTTTTAATAAATGTTTATTACTTATAGAAAACTCTATCTAATTAGATCCTAAGTCTAATGCATCACATCTGCCAAAGTAATATAGTTAATCTACACTTAAAAATTATTTTAATTACTAAATCCTTTCGTACTAAAGTAATTTTTGTTTTCTTAAAAGATAGAAACCAACCTGGCTCACGCCGGTTTGAACTGAAATCATGTAAAAATTTAAAGGCCGAACAGACCTACCTCCACAACTCCTACGCCATGGCGAATTTATAATTCAACATCGAGGTCGCAAACTTTTTTATCGATATGAACTCTCAAAATAAATAACGCTGTTATCCCTAAAGTAACTTAAATTTTTAATCAACAACAAGGATCATTACACACAAATACCTCTGTATTTTAAATTTAAACAGTTACAAATTATATCATCGTCGCCCCAACGAAATAATTTAGTATATAAATAATATTAAACTTTCAACTCATCTAATTATATACTAAATTATTAAGCTTTATAGGGTCTTATCGTCCCTTTAAAATATTTAAGCCTTTTCACTTAAAAGTCAAATTCAAATTTGTGTTTGAGACAGTTTGCTTCTTGTCCAACCATTCATACAAGCCTCCAATTAAGAGACTAATGACTATGCTACCTTCGCACGGTTAAAATACCGCGGCCCTTTAGTTTGATCCCAGTGGGCAGGTTAGACTTTATAAACCATCATATAGACATGTTTTTGATAAACAGGCAGAAGCTTTATTTGTCGAGTTCCTTAACCCACACCAATCAATATTTAAAATTTATTAATTTTTTAATATTTTACTATTTACAAAATTTTCTACTAATAAAATCATTTTATCTATAAATACAAAGATTATCAACATTTTTAGATACAACTACAAGAAGAATATAAATAACTTTAACTCAAAAATTAGTTAAAACACTTTACTCATATGGCTACTTCTAAGCCTAATTCAACTATTAAATAAATTTCTTCTATACTTTTTTATATTTTGAATAAGAAGCTCAACCCTCCTATTCTTACATTTAACTTTCCTTAAATATTAAAACTGAATTAAATTCATTTCTCTAAAAACCAGATATCAAAGGAATCGTTTAACATTTCATCACTAAATTAATATTAAAGATATTTATGCCACAATAACCTTTTTATCAATTTAGCTCTTCCTTTTTCGGGATCAAAAAACTACTTTTAAAATTTTAATTTTCCCTGATACACAAGGTACAAAAATTTACTTTTGCTTTCTTATTATTAAATTTTCATTTATTTCACTATTCTTTTACAATACTTTTAACTCTAGCCTTTATCTCAGTTTTCGATTCAAAATTTTAGATTTCTACTTACTTTTTTTATATAAAAATATTTTTCTCATTTATATTTTAACACTAAATAACAATAGCAAAGATTTATAATACTCAAAATATAATCGATTTGCACGATAAACCTTCTCAACGTAAGTGAGATGCTAAACTATAAAGCTTTATTTCGATTATTTCTAGGGACACTTTCCAGTACACCTACTATGTTACGACTTATTTCATTTTAAATGAAAGTGACGGGCGATATGTACATAATTTAGAGCTTATACCAAAAAAGCTTATTAAACTTTTTTTACAATTACATCCACCTTCTTTAAAAATAATTCTATTTTCAATCCGTTATAAATAAATATTATTGTAACTCATTTCTACTTATCTATCAGCTGCACCTTGATCTAATATATTTAATTTTTTAATCCCAATAATTAACTTTTTCAAGATTATTTAATAATGACGGTATACAAACTGTAAAATTTACCAAGATAAGTAAGATTCTGCGTGTTTTATCGTTTATAGAACAAGTTCCTCTAACAAGACTAAAATACCGCCAAATTCTTTGATTTTAAAGAATATAACTATTAATATTCAAGCATTTAAATTTTACTCCCAGGTGTAATAGGGTATCTAATCCTAGTTCATACCCCGGCATCTACAGTTTCATCTTTATTATATACTAGTTTAATTTACTAATTAACAATCTAATTTTACCTTTTATTAAAATAAACTAAACTAACTTATAAATTTTTAATTAACTGTTAACTAAATTACTTTTACTTAATCTTAAAGTGTAACCGCGACTGCTGGCACAAAACTTAGTCAGACTTCTTATAACTACCAAATCAGGCTACCGCCCATAATTTAATATTTTATACTGTGATTTTAATTTTCTTAACACGATTTCTACTTTTTAATTAAACTTATTTTTAATAAATTTACTGATTTTCTTTTTCCCCACAATTATTTACATGTATTTACCAGTTATAACGTAAAAGTATCAAGCAAGAATCAAACTTCCATGAGTGTACAAATAGTATTTTTTAATTTTTGACGATTAAATAAACGTACTAAAATTAAAGAAATTTGTTATCAACGTTAAAATTAACAATATAAATATGATTATAAATATAAATAATTCAACAAATTATATCAGTTATTTATTACCCAAAAAAATCTGTCCCACGCCCAAATCAAGCTAAAAAATTATGAAGGTAAAACACCATTTCATGCAGCTTTAAAAGAAACTCCGACAAAATTGAAAATTGTTATGAAGTTTGTTAGAAGTGCTAATTAACTCCCTAACAATAAAGTGAAGTTCTGAGTTAGTTAGCACTCTCCACTAACTTCCTAACCTTAAACAAAATATTTGAGTTATAGTAATATATCTACATATTTCAAACCAGAAAATTAAATTTTTAAAAGTGTTGGTCTGCTTCAAAACGCATCAATATACTAAAAACAGAAATTTTGATTATGATTTTTTTTTTAATTAAAATATAAGTATTTTAAAATTTGAAACCGCATATGGGTCGCTCCCATGCGCCCGCAACTTCAATTTTTTTTTTAAAAATGAGGATTTGCCTTCATTATAAATAATCTTATTAAAACTACCATATTTAAATAAAAAATTTTGCCAAAATCCAGCGAACTAAGCTGCTAAAATCATTCTTAATTTTGTATCATTATGATTTTCAATAAAGATACAAGTTAGGGAGCTAGTTAAGAATGTCAACTAGCTCCCTAACTTACTTTTTTTGCTGTCAACAGTAGAATAAACTTACCACGAAAAAAAATAGTTAGGGAGCCCGTTGGGAAAATCATGATTCTCATGAAACTTAGGAAAAACCTTTCTAATCTTATATTTGAGACCCTATATGGGTCGCTCCCATGCGCCCGGAACTTCAATTTTGTGAGAAATCTGACACAAACCTCTATTTTTTGCTCGAAAATAAAAGTTCTGGTCTTAAAGTTGAATAGAAGATTTCCCATACAGAAGTAAAACTTTGTACCTTCTTAAAATTGCACTATTTTTCTAATTATATATACATTTAAATATATGTAAGGAGAGAGCTCGTAACCTAGTCTTTCAACTAAAATTATACACAAGAGAGCAAAAATATATTTTTAAGGCGAATCTAAAATGTAAACTTATATAATTTCATTGAAATGCCTCGTCAACTGAAAAGTCGATAATTTAGCTGTATAAATCAACTAAATAAGATCCATAATGAAATCTAAGCCCTTTAAAATGGTCCCTTCTTCCTGAGGGGAGGTCCCATTTCCCAACGGGCTTAGATTTCTATTGGGAGAGGGAATTTTATAATTACAGAAGGCTGTGTATAAATCACAATTGTCCCAAATATATAATATTAAATTAATTATATACATTTATATGTATATATAATATATATATATACTACTATAAATTATATTTTCTTAATTTTCTGTTTTTTTATTTTTTATTTTACTAATAATATTTCTATTAACTTCATTTTATTAAAATATGATGCCTGAAAAAGGGCTGTCTTGATAGGACAGATTATGTAATTTTTTTACTCATGTTATCTATATACAATGGAAT